ACAGTGGATCCCCACCAACCGCAGGAAAAAGGGAATACCAAGAAGATCGTGGTGACAAGAATTAAATGGTGCAATGGAAGAATAGGGGTCTACAAGTAGATAAGTAGATGACTGGAACGATCGCAAGCGTTGGAAGCTAGGTTGCGAGAAACGGCGGCAGCTGTAATATATATATATATATATATATATATATATATATATATATATATATATATATATATATATACATATATATATATATATATACATATATATATATATATATATATATATATATATATATATATATATATATATATAACGAGTTTATATTTTATACATTTTTTTCTGATAATTTTTTAAAGCCATCTGTTATAAACTGGTCACGCTACAGGCTGCAGACAATTATCTTATTGGAATTATCTTGGAACCTTGTACCAGCTTGTGCAGGTCTAGTGGATTGGTACCATATGATTTTGGAGTCAAGTTCTTCTCGACATTTCCACACTAGCCTATAGGCGCTTTGATTGCTTCAGTTTAGGAAGTCCTCACATTATTGGCTGGAATATAGATGTATATTCTCCTAGTGAATATAAATGTATACATTTCCATCACTACTGAACATTTTTGTACCAGACATAACCCTGCTGCCTGGGCTGTGTGTTTCTTCTGCCCCATCCCTCGGGTGGGCAGATTTTCACTTGGAAATTAGGTCCGTATTTTGGTACCTACTCCTACTATAAGGTGCAACTCTATAGACTAGACATCTTGAGTAAATATTAACATGGTTGAAAAGGTTCTTATATGTAAGCAAAGCTTATCTGTATCTGGTGTCTTTAAGGAAAAGAGAAAATTGAAATCAATACGGGAGAGATAAAAAAGAAGGCAGCTCTATTTGTATATTTTATTGTCATCATCATTAGCCCTTTTGCATCCACTGCTGAACATAGGTCTCTCGAAAATAATTACATTCCATCCTATCTTGAGCACCCTGAACCCAGTTGTGCTGGATGCGCTTGATGTTGTCTGATGTCCTAAATTATACAATGTATAACCATATCCACAAAGCACTAGGATAGCAAAATATATCGAATAGGACCTCTAATACCATAACACTGAACTGTTTTTAAGTTGTTAACACGTGTTTTAGCAAGGAGCCAATACATTTCTTTTTTCATAACAGTATTTAATAATGGCTCTTGTAAGAGTCATCGACACTAGCACCCATGCAGTTTTGGCTTTAATAAGAGTCAGGACAGTGAATAAGTTAAAACAAAATAATAATTTTAATAGTAGATTAAAAGTATTTTAATAGTAGTAAGGGATAGTCATGCGCAATACATAGCCTCTCCTATTCAAATGTCAACCTCACCTGCCCGTGAGATGATCTAGATCATGATCATCCTGTACATTCTGCTAGATAACAAACTAGGCTCTGGCGTCCGAGTGATTGACGGTATAAGCAATCCCCCACTTACTGACCAACAGCTTCGGGTCGAAGAGTCGGTAAGTGGAAGGGAATTTTCCTAGAAATGGAAAATCATTTCTAAAGACGGACGAACCAGGCATGGTCAACGGCGTGGTGATGCATAAGGTAACGGGAAACCAATGCATTAAAGGCTCATAGAGCATCCCTAGTTAATGATCATGACTAACCATACAACCAAACACTACTGAAACTCGGAAAACAGGATCCCGAAGAGGAATAAACTCACAAGACTGCAAGGCCTCCCCGGTCGTCAATACGCGAAAACCTTGCAAAGTAGCGGCTTGGAATGTTAGAAGTCTACATCAAGCTGGAAAAAAACATAATGCCGCTAAAGAAATGGAAAGTCTGAATATAGATAGTTTAGGAATCAGCGATGTGCAATGGCCCGACTCACGAAAGATAAAAATCAACAATAAAACAATATATTATTCAGGAAGTCAAGACGATTCACACAGATATGGTGTCGGGATAATATTAAACAAAAACGTTATTGAAGCTGTAATAAATTATTTCACTCCATACTCCAACATAATTATACTCTTACAATTAAACCAGAATAAACCCAAAATAAATATCCTACAAGTTTATGCTCCAACTGCAGAAAAACTAGAGAGCGATATTGAAACTTTCTACGAAGACCTAGACATTTTTAAAATACATTAAAATGCAAGATGTAACAATTATAATGGGAGACTTTAACGCAAAGGTTGCGGAAGAAAAAGTAGAAGAATGTACAGGAGGATATGGTCTGGGCAACAGACAGGAAAGAGGTGACAGGCTTATCGAATTTTTCCAAAACAATAATTTTGTTATAGTTAATACATTGTTCAAAATACCAATGAGAAGACTCTATACCTGGAAGTCACCTGCAGATCAAGAAGAGAGAATTGTAAGGAAGAAAATAAACTATGTATTAGTTAGACAAAGATACAGGAATACTATCCAAGTGCCGACATAGGATATGAAATCAACAACGGATTAATGAATGTTAAAGAACAAATTCTGCAAAATACTGAGACGGAGTAAAAATGGTTATTAATAAAAACAGAAATAAATAAAAATCAAAAAGAAATCCTAATACCAACCAGATACAAAAAGAAGCAATGGATGACGGAAGAAATTTTAGATTTAATGGAAGAAAGACGTCATATAAGTACAAAGATAATCAGATGTACAAAAACGTGGATAAACAAATAAAATACAGAATTAAAAGGGAAAGGGAAAGAACAATGGTTAAAAGAACAATGCGCAGAAATAGAAGAATACCAGAAAAGACATGATAGTTTTAACACACATCAAAAAATTAACTCACAACAATAGAACAAGAAAACCGGGAATACTGAAAGACGCAAATGGGAAACTTGTGTTGAATACTAACGACAAATTAAAGAAAAGGACAGAATACATCAATGAACTGTTCAAAGACAATAGAACAGAACAGATGGAGATAGAAGTAGAAAAAGATATAGGCTATAGAAGAAAAATCAAAGAAGATAAATCAAAAAAGAAAAATCAAAGAAGCGGCTCTAATTATGCTAAATGAGACCAATTGTGTCGCAAATTCCTCGGCAGAATGTGGTAGGATCTGATTACCCATATTGAAAGACGAAGTTATTAATAAGAAAATACCAGTATTAGTATGTCAGTAACATATAGAGGATACATCATTTATGTTTTTTAAATAACAAACATATAAAATCAGAGTTTCGTGTTTATTGAACGTAAACTAAATGCACGACCAAATACTTACCATGTCGGGATAGTATTATAAGGTTTTTTTCCTGGTTTTTCCCTCATAATTTACTATGGAATCACTAACAGGAGAATTTTACTGTCATCATGGCATGTATTTGTCTTTTTAAAGACGAATTACATGCTATGATTTTTTCTGACAAATATTCTCAAGTTAAAGTTGATTTCATGTAATCTAATGAACTATCTTATAAGTAAAGTCATCCCAGGAGCACATCTCAACTATATTGGCAATATCATTTTAAATTCATTTACTTTAAAATGCATAATGTATGTCTGAATTGTCATATAAATGAGTCAGATAAAATTAAATTATTAGAAAAAATTTTCACTAAGTAACAAAAAACAAAATTTGTTTAATTTACTGTTTGTATTTTGAGAATGATTTCTGAAGTGGAAATTGAAACATCAATAAACGTATTTTAACCTTTAATTGTGGCTTATTCCCAGTTAAATAGTAATTAACTTAAAATACCACAAGAAAATAGCTTCAGAACAAGGAATAGATCATAGTCAGTTTAGGTTCAGAAATGGACTAGGAACCAGAGAAGTGTTATTTGCTTTTAATGTGTTAGCTCAAAGATGCATGGATATAAATGTTGATGTGCATATTTGTTACATTGATTTTGAAAAAGCATTTGACAAAGTAAGACATGAAAAATTAGTCAAAATTCTAAAGACAAAAAATGTAGACCATAGCTCTACTTGAATCAAAGAGCACAAATCGTAATAGATAACGAACCCAGTCCAGAAATTGAAATCAGGAGAGGAGTTAGGCAGGGATGTATTATGTTCCCATTACTATTTAATGTATGTATATAGTGAAGCCATTTTTGAAGAAGCATTACTATCTCAAAGTAAAGGAATAATAATTAACGGAAGATCTGTTAACAACATAAGATATGCAGATACACCATGATTATGGCAAGCTCTGCTAAACAACTCCAATTACTGCTAAACAAAACAAACAGTTTCTGTGAAAAATATGGACTAAAAATGAATATTAAAAAGACTAAATACATGATAATAACAAAGAAAACAAATATACCAATAAACATACATTTGGGAAATGTACCAATAGAAACGGTTGATAAATACAAATACCTAGGAACCTGGATTTCAGACAATAAAACAACCAAAATGAAAGCTAGGATAGAAATAGCAAGAAATGCGTCTGTAAAAATGAAAACAATTCACCGCAACAAAGATTAGAACTGAGAGTAAGAGCACTGAGATGCTACATGTTTTTGATACTACAATATGGACTTGAAAGCTGGACATTGAAGCAAGAACACATAAATAAGTTACAGTCCTTTGAAATGTAGTGTTACAGGAGGATGCTTAGAATAGCATGGACACAGAAGATAACTAACACGGAAATATTGCAAGAAATGGGCAAATAATGCCAAATAATAAACACACTAAAAATAAGAAAATTACAATATCTGGGACACATAATGAGGGGACAGCGATATGAACTACTAAGGTTGGTAATACAGAGAAAGATAAGAGGAGGAAGGAGTATAGGAAGAAGGAGAGTGTCATAGTTGAAGAATTTAAGGGACTGGTGTAAATGCAGTTCTATAGAACTCTTCAGAGCAGCAGTAGATAAAGTAAAGATAATGATGATGATATCCAACCTCCGATTGGGAGACGGCACTTAAAGAAGAAGAATAGTAGTTTTATTTTTACTGTAGATATACTCCTATTTTTTTAAATTGCTTTTGATCTTTCAAAATAATCAATTAATCAATGAAAATTGATAATACAATTCTAGTTTTTAAATTTTATTAGCTAAATTATTGATATTAACAAAATATACCTATTTAATAACTATTTTTAACTTCTTCTTCGGGGGGAAAATATGGTCTAGGTTTAAGTTTTGTAAACTTCCACTCTTCTCTTGAATGAAAAGGTTCATAAGGATCATCGACATAGTACTTAGGTTTTCTCCAGTAGGGAGCAACCATCTTATCTAACAAAGTACTTTGGGTAGCGTTGCAAAAAACATGTTGCCGCAGCCTACGTTTTCTAGGGGGGCTTTTCCTCCATAATCTAAAAAATAAATGAAGAATTAAGCTGTATGTAGACACAGCAAATAACATTCTTATATGTATACCAAAACTTGGTTTTAAAACTTGTTTATGAATAAAATAACATGGAACTATGTTGGAGAAATGTACACTCTTCCAATTTTTAGGGAATATTATAACATGTGAAAAAATCAATAAAAGTTTTTGCTTATAGTTTGTAACCAACAACCAGTTGTAAACATGTTTTATAGTAGCGATATAGAGTACTGTTCAAAGTTAAATGAAAGATCGTATCTTTAGTAGTTACAAACAAAAAATATTATAGCTTTACCTTTTGTGACGACCACATTTTGTACGTATCCAACCTCCCCAATGAAGCCTATAAAATCTTCGTAATACAGTCTTCACGGTTTTTCTCTTGCCTTGTTGAAATGAAAATTTTGTAACTGTTCTTATAGCTGTGTTTACCAATGATGGGCTCGCGCTCGGGTTTTTGAAAAGTACTTTAGGAGCTCTGATTTGAGCATTGCATAGTATAGAAGTAAAATTTCTGGTGACTACTGGATGAATACAACTAGGTTTTGTTAAATTTTGAGTTAATAGCTGTGTGTTCGATTTTGCCGATATAGAAGCTACTCTTGCAGCTGAATACAATATTTGTTTAAACATTTTCAATATTCATTATTTGGATTTTTTATTCTTTGAGGTTAGTAAGGTTAACTTAGTATAGTAATTTTATTTGTTTTGTTGGCTAATCTGGTCTGGTTTATTATTATGTAAGTCATGTGTTCTATATATAGGGTGTCTTATTCTAAGGTTTATAGAGAGAATAAAGCTCGCTGGTGGTTTTTATAAAAATATCTAAAACATATTTAAATTTCTATAGAATATTTTTCATACTTCGCTATAAATATATAAACAAACTCGTTTAAAACGTTTTCTCCTTATATTATTATTGTCAAAATGTGTTCAAAATTGAATACTTTTGTAAATGTAAATGTCATAGGTCTAAAAGCCCGATTTTTTGGTATTTTAACTGGTTAGATTGTAGATTTTAAAATGGTACTCGTACTCATAAAGTTATAGACTTCACGGACTCGTAAGTTATAGCGTTGATTGAATAGCCCAAAGAGATCCTCAACGCTTATGGAGAGAAACGTGCAACCCAAAAAATTAAAATTTAATCAAGAATCAGCGACTCTAGTGGATTACTATTACGGGAAACAGTTATGAAAAAAATAGTTAGTTTTAGTTACGAATTTGCGCTCATACGAGAATGATCGTAGAAAGAGGTGCCGTTACCTCCCCTATCGTGCCCTTCCACAACCAATTTATGGCAGTAGGTACTTACGAAGTGTAGTGAGCATCGAGCAAAAAGACAATATTGTCTTTTTGCTCGATGGTAGTGAGGTAGTGAGTCAGAGAACTGGACATCACACAAGCGTTATCTCTGATTTCTAAGAAATATGTCTGTGAAGCATTTAGCACTTCGCCAACGTTTGAATTTATTTTGTCAATATTATATTTTGTATACAGATACGAAAAAGATCGAACTGCAATGAAAATTATTTGATATGTAATTTAGAATGTTAATAATTATAAAATCAAGGGGTGCCCGATCTAATTTTGTTGTGACTATAATTAATTAATAATTAATAATAACTTATTTTATAAAAAAAATTTTGCGGACACATATTATTTTAGATTCATTCAAAACAAAAAAGAGCTTTTTTAATTTTTGTTCTTAAGCTGATCGTTTTCAAGTTATAAACAATTTAAAACTGAAAAAATAACGAGATATGATGATCTTCAAGGCTTAGAATCATAAGTTTCACTTCATTTTTGAAAATATGAAGTACCTAAGTTCAAGCTCAACATTATTTTATCAGGTCTTGATAAGTATTTTGGACTTTCATTTTAAATCATTTGGGTTATTCAATCAGTTATAGCAAGAATACACTATATTCTTTGTTTATAGACTTCAGAGTATTAAGCGCAGTTTAGCTATTGAGGCTTTCAACTAGTTAAGAATATTACAAAAACTCTTACATATATAATTCCTTCAAACAAGGATAAAGAACACAATTGGCCATAAACACTATACATCATTTCTTGAAACATTTTTGCAGATATATTGTTATATTTCTAAATTTGGCGCACCCTATAAATCCAAGTCCTTTTACAGGTTAGCCAGCATAACGGAAAATGAAAACTTAACCTAAAAAGCTAAAAATTTGCCTTTTTAAATTATTTAAAATTAAATAAGTCTTTTCTATGATTTAAACTTTCTATTTTTCTGGTTACAAATTAATTTCTCACGTAACCGTTGCCTTTCAGATCTGTTACTTATTTTGAAGTTTATCAGTTCTGAGCTAAGGAGATACGAGACAGATGACGGCCGGACACTCTTGAAACTTCGGGTGATTCTCGGAATCCTAATATTCCTGTTTTCATTTATCCCCAAAGTGGCTTTTCCCCAAAATGCTAAGATTTATTAAAAGGATTCCTAATAAAAAAAATTGGGTGAGTAATGTTTTATTAATATTCCCAATATGTAGTAGTATGTTATGTCATCTTCTTGATATTTGATCATTTTTAAATATAAAATAAAAGGCAGTGTAGTTTTGTGTTTAAGAAATTACCAGTAATTTTTATGCTGTAAAACTATTACATAAAAATAAGACAAAATACTTTCAAATTTTTCATCCTATGATTTCATTGTATTTTATTAAATTATTCATAGGTTTCATAAGCTCCCAACAGTACAAATTTTCTCCATTCCATCCATACTATGTTGTAAATGTTGTTAATAGTCACTACAATGGTCTAAAATTATTTATAAAATTAAAAGTGCCTTAAGGCCAAGTTTAATGTCACATAATGTTTTCAAGGTTTTTATGCTCTGATTATTGTATTTTTAGAAAAAATGTACCCCAGCATTGACAGTATATCGTACTATACATTGTAATTATAACAATAATGCAAAATATACCACATCAGGAAGATCCTATAGCCAAGGCTCAAAACAATCTGAGCAAGGTAGTGGAGGTGGTGGCAAAGGATTTTTCTTAACAGTTGGGGCATTAATTACAGCTGGAGGAGCCACCTTGGCATATGCTAAATATGATCCAGATTTCAGGTAAGTGATCTAAGCTTTCCCTTGACTTTACTCTTATAAGTCAAAGCCTTTACTGTATTTTACACCAAAAATCAGTTTTAACTATAAAAAACAAGTAAGCCATAGGTTTAAATATGCTAATGTATATTAGAAGTAAAATTAGAAACATGATTTCCTTTAAATAAATATAAAAGTGAAATATATATGTTTCAACCAAAATAATCGCTAATGACTGTTGGAAAAAGTGGCAAGATATCATTTCTTTGTAAATATTCCCTTTCAACACACAACACACTACTTGAATGTTATTGCTAACAAAGTAAAAAAAATAATACAGATAAACATATAAATACAGGTTCTTTAAGGCCTTAAGTTTATCAATTATATAATCAAAAAAGTTAATTTGGGTTCCTAAACTATTATCTTTACATACTAAGTGAAAAGGGGAATCATTTGAACCATAATTAAGTAGTATGGTAAAAAGTAAAAATAATAATGGCAGTAGTATGCAATTAATGGCAGCAATAGTCACTCTATGCTTCTTAGGAATACAGGGAAAGACAACTTCTAATCCACTTATATTTATATTCCTCCCTGCTTTAGCCTGGGAAAAATTATAAGAGAAGCACCAAATAACAGAACAGCATTACATGAGTTTGTCTTTTAAAGTTTAAATTAACATTTCTCTATAAATCTTGTGATGATTTCGCCATAATTACAATAAAGCAACACCAAATATAACATTTTTAACCACAACACCACTTATCCCATTCAGTTTCCCATACCAAAACCATTGAGGGCTGGTTTACTGGGTTTGTCATTAACAAAAGTAAGTTGTTTTGTTATTGCTCTCCTGTAAAATTGAAGAAAATGAGCTACATGGTGTTGCTTGGTTGACTAAGATATCTCAATAAATTTAATGAAGCTCTAAAAAAGGAACAACTGTTATTACTGAGAAAACAGAAAGGAACAAATAAAATATTCATCCTAAATATTGAAGGGAACATATTTGAAGCAGTGGAGATATAAAGACAATCAGAAAGGTATAATTAGAAAGCAAATTAACTGTTTTTAGTTTTTTGAAGAAAAATTGCTATCTATATTTGAAAATATGTATCTATACACGCTCTTAAATGTAGTGAAACCAATAACAAACAAATCAATATTAAAAATGGCAAAATAACAGGGTAGACAAAAGTTGATATAGTAAGCTCTCCTATATCATCATATCCAAAGGAATTACAGACCAAGATTATAATAGACACCTAAATAATATTTGGACAAATATACAGCAGCATGGCAACTCACATGGAAGAAATTGAAGCTACTATCAATAAAAGAGCTCAGAATAAGTCTTCTAGATGCAATTCCATGTAAAGTGTTACAAAATATGGGAGAGATTTTTTGAAAGTCATACACTACTGATTTCAACTATAGGCAACCTTGAAATGTCCTGTTGACTGGATGACCTTCAAAATTGTTCCTTTGCATAAATGATATTTTGGTTAAACTGGTCTAAAATGCATTTGCAATCTTCACTTTGCTAAGGATACCTTGTTTATAGCCCAAAGAGATACATAACAAACTAAAAGAGTTGGTAAGAAACATCAACTGCAAATTATTAAAAATATGATAGATGTAATGATTATCAATATAACACAACGGAACTCAGAACATTGCTGGATACGAAATGTTCAAAAATTGTATATATTTAGACAGTAATGTACAATACAATAACAACGGCATTGTGAAAATAAAATTTGAATATGTTGACAGATGGGTAGAATCACTCTGCCTAACCTCACCAAAATAAAAAAACATATACTTAACAAAATTCACTAAGATCAATCTAATATGATCATTTCTTTTCACAATATTTAGTTATGCATCACAAATCTCGATGTTGTGAACAGCAGATAGAAAAAATATCAATGCATGTAGGATGTGGTGTTATAGAAGAATTCCTGAAATAGTTCTAACAAACAGAAGAGTAAATACATCTCTTCTTGTGGAAACAGAGTTCCCAACATCTCTTCAGTTATGAGAATGTTAACTTTCTTACCAATAATAGGGAGAAACTAACACAAACTTAGTCAATGCAGTATGTGCAACTCACAATAAAAACAGATGCCAAAATATGACATGAAATTATTTAAAAAAATGTTATTAAAAAGAACTTTAATTGTTCTTTATGTTTTATTAAGTACATCCTATCATATCCTATCTGACAGCTATATTTTAAATATTTGTATTATAATTTTGATTACTATTGTACAGCAATTCTCAATTCAGTTCAGACAGTTCTCAATTCACAGATAAACATATTTATATTTTTGAGAACTGAACTGTGAACTAAAATTTTCATGACAGGGTAAAGCTATATATTTTAATAACTGTTAGATTTAAGTACAGGAAGTAGTTGACAAAACTTAAAGAACAAGTACAGTTCCCTTATATATCCATCTATAATATATAGAGTAATTCATTTAAGAAAGTCAAGAAAATTTTAAGTTCACATTTTGAATCACCTTGTATATTAGATATTGTTTTATCTACAATGTGTGAAAGTTTTATTTATATAGATAATATTTAAAAAATTGTACTAAACAAAATGTTTCCAATTGTATTATTTATAAAGATACAGGATGTCAAATTGGACACAGTTTCAAAATAAAATTGGTCATATCTCATAAAATACTCGGTATAAGGTAGAATAATCTTATACTGAGTCAATTCTCAAGAACTGTTCCATCGAAATTCGTAAAAATATACTGGGTGTTATGGCTAGGAAGTTTTATTCAACTTTCGATATAACGGGAAATGGTAAGGGGTTTTAAATATCTTTGATTAATTGGGCATATCTGAAAGTCCCTAATCCCAAAGTTTTCAGATATTAATTGTTTTGTGTAAAACTTAGAGGTCGCTAGTTAAATGAATTTAGAAATAATAATAGAGAAAATGCAATATTTTGTCTACATAAATTAGCAAACATTGCAATATGTGTAAATAGATATGTAAAGTAAAAGATTGTCTACTTGTAAAAAGGGTCTGAAGTGTGGTATTAGGTTACGAAAGAGTTTATTATTATTAACTTGTCCTGCACTGCTGCCAAGTGAAGCATCATGTGGGTCAGCGTCGGGATTATTCTCGCTAGCCATCTCGATGATTACTGGATCGGCTATAGTCTCATTGTAATCAATCACGACAGAATCAGTATTCATTTCAGGCAAACTTCCTCCAACTGTTCGAGCGATGAATTGGTCTTCTGGTGCACCGGCTATAATCTATTTCTAATGAGTGTAGAGTAATAAAATCTCATGAAGTATTCAAAAGCGCTACAGGGTAATCCGTCAATAATCCGTCAATAAATTCCGTCCGCATTGCAAAATTCTGTCGTTTCATAAAGAGCAGGTAGGTATCACCCTGTTTTAAGGGATTAGTCCATTGTTATCGACAGATAAACACTGAGCCAGAGGCGCGCTAGTGGGTTAATTGACAAAAGAATATGCATTCTTAAATATCATATTAAAGGAAATAAAAATGGAATACAGCAGAACAGTGTTATTAAAAAAATATAAAATGTAACAATAAAATATATACGAACCGAAATCGGGAAATACTCACAAACACACACGATTGAACTTTACATATTGAAACACTTGTGGGGAGTTTAAATCAATTTATTCACAAAAACTACAAAAACTTTACTGGATACGTTATTACAATTCTACATCACTATAGTCTTCATCCGAAGAACTGTCATCATCCCCTGGTGTTATAATTATAGGGTCAACCACCTGATCGACCAAGTTGTCCAGTTCCCACATTTTATCTCCATTAGTATTTTGTCAGGGTGGGTATTTCCTTTTTAAAATAAAACGAATGAACTTTTCTTCGAATGTCACGTTGGTGTCTTCACCTAAGATTTTTATTGGTCTTCCTGATTTTCTCTTGCATGGACTTAACTGGCCTGATATCTTCTTTCTCGCAATAATTTAAAAATCGTGGACTGTCCAATTCCAGTCATTCGGGCACATCGCTCAACACTTTCTTGCACAGACAAACTAGGGTGATCGTGTTTTATGCAATCATATACATTTAAAATTATAACTTTTTCACTAACAGATAGCGGAGAATTTTTTACACCTCTTTTCTTTGGAGTAAATGTCGCCATTTTATAACTTTTTCACTATTTCTATATCACAATATTACTGTACGTTTAATTGGTGTAGTAACAATTACTAACTCGAATGTCGAATGATAATAATAAAATAAAAGAGGGATTATAATGAAATTGTAAGTAAAACCTCATTACGCGTTATTAGTCTTCATGTTGATTTATTTTAGTTCTTAGTAATATTAGGAGGTGCGTCATACCCTTATCAGTTTCTTCTAATGCTTTTATTCGTTCAGTAAGGAAGTGAATTTGTTTTTATAAATAAAAATGTAATTAGCTTTAATGACCATATAATGGAATACGAGTTTGAAGAATAAGTTAATCGAAAAATTAAATAAAATTGGTTATCACAAAATATCCAAAATATGATATTTTGAGGTACATCAATTTTTGACGACGAAGTTGACATCCGTCCATTTGCCTACGCCCATGACGACACCGAAATTCAGGCAAATTTTATGACACTTCATGATTTATTACTCTACACTCATTTGAAACCAATTATAGGGTAGATTGGACGGCTGAACGAGCAGTTAACGATGGTACAGAGCTTGGCTGGTTCTGATGCTCTCGCGATGTCTCGTTGGTGTAAAGTGCCGATAATACGAAATAAAATACGTATGTACGACTAGGGTGGTTCCTTTGTTCTTAGGACTTTCGTGCATATCAATAAATTAAGCTTAAAATGTCATTTTAAACTCTACACAAAGGACGGGTACATTTCCTTAAGGACTCATAGAGTGTTTTGGGTTGATAAATAGTTTCCCAAAAACATGTTGTTTTTTAGACAAGTGAATTCTCAGAACTTGACAATAATGAATCAGCCAATTTGAGTGCGAGAATTTAAAATATGTGGAACTAAAGTCATATTCTGAATAAATAAGGTCATATTCTGAATAATAAAAATAAAATATTTAAATAAGTAGTTTGAATATACCATTAAAAAAGACTATATAATAGTACAGTAAAATCAAAATATTAAATGTAAAATATGAAAATAAATACTACATACTTTCCCAAACATTAATTATGTCAAGTTTCTTTATAACATCTAATTAGAAGTGCCAAAAAATCTCCCTGTTAAGGAAACTTTTTTACTTTCACATTTATCTACTTTCAGGAAAACCCTAGTAGGCTTTGTACCTTTCACTGATGATGTAATAAAAACATTGTGGCAGGAAGATAACATACAGTCAAGTAATATCCTATCTTCTTATTACGAAAGTTCAAAGAATGCCATTTTTGACCTATTCACAGGCAAGCCTACTAAAGAAAGTAAATACATTAGTACTAAAGAAATTTCTGAGTTGCCATCGGAATATAAAGGTAAGTACAATGGCGTATAGTTTATTTGTTATTTATTAATCAACAGTGTGTATTTAACTAAAGTATTTTTTTTTGTTTTGTGCTAATATTAACAGCTCCTCCGCCAATTCTACCAGTAATAGAAAAAGAAATGAAAAAACCGCCTCCGCCTAGCTATGCTGAAATTAGACTAGAGAAAATAGAAAGTGGAAAACTAGAACCTGTTGTGGAACTAGGTATTAATAATCATTTAACAACTATTTGTAATTTTAAGTTTCACATTTAAATATAAAATCTGATACTTTTTTGGATAAAATCAAGGTAGATTTTACCAATTTTGTAATAAAATTATACAATCTCACTTCAGATAACATGCTTAATTAACGACCACTTTGTTCATATTCAATGAACATCTTATGATACAGTAAAACCTATGTCTAATGGCAATTCCAGATAATGAGAGTGATGACTTATTTTTATCCCCCTCCTCCCACCTCATTCCTTGAGCCCTTGTCAGAGCGAGGTGACACCCTAAATATTATTAGCTTGCTGTCTTTGGGTGCGATCCTGTGCCATATGGACGGCTCCATGTAGGGATTTTCCCACCAAAATCTTCATTTGTGTTGCGAGATTTTCCTCTTAATTTTCGGCCTTGTACCTTTCCTTCTACTACCTAATACTGATATTATTTTTGTCCTACATCCTCTAATAAAGACAAGACCTTTTTATTATATTTGATTTACATACTTTATCATAGATATCTTTTAACATTATAATAATTAACAGCGGAAGTTAATAATTTATTAGCTATTTAAATCTGTCTATTAAGTCTATTCTTAAAAGGTTACAAACTGAATACTAGAACATTAGAGTGTACATTAGTTTTGTTTTTGTATTTTTTACTGTACTTTGTGACTTCAGCTCTTATATAATATGTAGATGGAATTTGGAGATTCTGTTCTAGACCATGGAGCATTTGCGGAGCTTTATTCTTGTAGTTTTATTCTAAGAGAGCTTTATTCTGGAATCTTTTTATGATTTCTAGGTTTGAGTTGTGGCTCAAAATTGGATGCCATAAGTTCATATTGGATTCAATACAGCCTTATTATATTAAGACCTTGTTTGCTAGAATTAACTAAGATTTCCTGCCAATAATCCATTAGGGATGTCAAAATTCAATTCCCAGTTTTCGTTTTGTAAATATATTTAATGTAGTAGCACTCTGGTAAACTGCTGGACATGTATCTCTTGTTAGTATAAAGATGACGAATTGATTTCATGGGAGGCAAGTACTTTAGTGTCATCTGCGAAAACCTCTGTTATTGTGGTTTTTGAGATTGGTTGATCTGCAGTGAAAAGCTGATAGAGTAATACTTTTAACACTCTGATTTGCGGTACTCATGTGTTTTCATTAGACATAAGTGTGAACATTGAGACAGAACATTAAACTAAACTTGAAGCATGAATCAGAAACAGTATTTTTTTTCTTTAAAGAGTAGATCTTATGATGGACTTTATCGAAGGACTGACATATCATGAAATGATTCTGAGCAATATCGTTTAAATTGAGGTAATTGCTGATATGTTTGACTCATCTATGAACTAGGACAAGGTTTTTGGTTTAATGCGTTTTATTTATTTTTAATTTCTCTAAGACTTAAAGAGCAGTGGCAGTAAACTTATATATAATATAATATATGGTCTCCATAATGTTAATTCTCAAAATATGATTTTTGAGAACGATTTCCGAAGTGGAAATTGAAACGTCAATAAACGTATTTTAACCTTTAATTCTGGCTTATTCCCAGTTAAATATTAATTAATATTTTTCATTATGATGTTCTGAATTTCATTGTATGTATCTCTAGATGTTATCAATTTTTTTTATGCTGTCCAGGAAATTTCTCTATTATATAAGACATAAATTACGTTGTAGTCTATGTAACATTTTCTTTTTTCTTTCTTCAAGTCGATCAAACATAGAAATTATGTATTAATATACTCTAATTTGTATAATCTACAAGCGACTTTTCCGTACGAATATCTTATTGTTAATGTGCTAAATTCAGACTTGTATTAAACAAGTCAATATCTCTGAAGCGTTCTGGTTGTTTTTATCAATCTCTTTTTCTAAATGATAAAATATAGTCTGTCAGATATTTATCTTCTGGGATTTTCAAAAATACATCTGTATTGTTCATTTGTAAGAAAGTAAAGATAATATATACTTCATTTATGTTGTAGAAATTCGTTAGATCGCGATTTGTATTTCTCATATTTTCGTTATATCTATTATTACTTTATTATTGGTACCATGTCATCACCAACACGGGCGTTAAGGTCTTATTGCTATGATGATATTATTGTTCTTATCAGTGTTACAACATTAAAATGTAAAAACATTGAATTATTTATGTGTGTCTGTCCGTCCGCAAACAGAACTCCTCTTGTTATTAGAATAGCTAGAATGACAAATGAGGTGTCGAATGAGAGCTTATAACCCAAAGATGGATTAAAGGTGAGAAATTTGACCTCAGACTTCTGGTTCCAGAGTTGCAACCGGAAGTACGTCGCCGAAATAGTACATCATCATCATCATCATCATCTTGGTGCAACAGCCCTTAGAGGACCTTGACTTTCTCAAGCTTTCTACGCCATTCTGTTCTGTCCCGAAATAGTACAAGCGATGTATTATTCGACGCAAAAAGAGAACATATATAAACTTCCGATTTTTATATCATTTCTGGTTAAAAAGTTATAACCAGAAATGCCACATTCTAGTCACAGAAGTAGCACATGTGATATATCAATCCGCACGTATTCAAAAGTCGAGCTCGATTATTTAGTCCCGGTTTTCAATTAATTAAAGTTACATGAAGAGTTCAAATTCGACTTCCGGTTCCACTTTAGGTCTCGTTCGTTGAAAATCTAGGACTTACGAATTTCAATTGCTTGTATTCATTTATTGGATTCTAGTTTATCATACTTTAGAAGTGTTCGTTGAAGTTATTTTACTTTAATAAACGAAACTGGAGACCAAAACAGTGAAATAAAAAGACGTATCGAAATTGCCAGGGCCACCTTCATAAAGATGAGAAAATTCTTCTGCAACAGAAATATAAGCATCCCTCTACGATTAAGAATGCTGAGAGGCTATGTATTTAACACGCTATTATACGGTGTAGAGGCCTGTACTCTCAAATAGAACAGCATGAAAAATATTGAAAGTTTCGAGATGTGGTGCTACCGTCGAATGCTGAAGATTAGTTGGGTTGAAAGAATAACAAACTGTGAAGTAATAAGAAGAATAGGAAAAGACCCAGAGATTTTGTTAACGCTAAAGCGAAGAAAACTCGAATATTTTGGTCAGCTGATGAGAGGACATAAATACGCATTACTTCAAAATATAATGCAGGGAAAAATAGAAGGAAAACGGAATCCAGGCCGTAGAAGAATGTCATGGTTGCGGAATTTGAGAGAGTGGTTTGGCTGCACCACTAATGAACTCTTTAGGTCAGCCGTAAACAAGGTCAGAATAGCCTTGATGATTTCCAATCTCCGATAGGAGTGGCACAAAAAGAAGAAGAAGTTAAAGTTATCTTGTGTTTTCATCTATTGTCTTAGCTTTTTTAAGCAAAATATTATTTAGCTGAAATACATTTACATTCTTCTGTTTGACCCATAAGCGATTCCTTATCTGGCATTGTTTTTTTTTTCGAAGGAATTGGAATCTTTTCAAACGAATTTATATTACAATAAATGTCATACTTTCACTTAAATAAAGCTACGCGGTGCAAGATATTCTATTCATTTCTCTTTACATTTTGGAAATGTGCTCAGAAGGTCAAAAGAAAATATTGATACCTAAGCTGCGCTTTTGATATTCTTGTCCCTGCGTATGTGAGTATATTCAGTATAGGTTTTTGCTCATCTGTCAAAAATGGTTAGAGGTGGCGTATTGCGCATCAAACTCATCACGTTATACTTTTCTTTTACCGTATTCGAACCTATCATGTTCCCTTCAGCGTTTTAATAATAGCTCACAAATAATAATTTTGCTGTAAACAATGGCACCGATAAAAGTCATAGGACTTCGTCACTTCTTATAGGCAACCACAGAAGCCACAACACTCCAATGGCTGGAGACCTTGAGCAACATACAGTCACCAGCTATAACATTTAGAAAATGAGAACCATTTCCTGAATATACGAGTTAGCTAAACACAGACAAACATTCAACAAAGAATATTATTCCTTTTATATGTGCAATCCATAGAGCATATAATATCTTAATTTCCAATAAAATTTGCAAATGTAAATTTTTTCTGATCCAAAATACTAAAGATGTCTTCTGTCAGATATAAGTTCAATAACCTTTTCCAGATTTTTAAAGTAGCTGATGATTGATTTCGAAGATTTTCACAAAAAATAGTTATTAAAAACAGTAACAAGTGCCCAACATATTACATTTTTGAACAAAAAAGAAAATAAAGTATTTTTATCTTTGGTATATTTTCAAATTTATTCTTAATCTCTATTATTAATTTTTAAAATATGTTGTTTATAGATAATTTAGTTTTCTGTGCCTTTTTCTAGTACTTAATCAAATTAATTTTATAAGGGCGCTTCTACAGCCAGACTTCGAATTATCTATCTTAGGTTTGGTACACTGCATTTTTTTTGGACGATTTTATGTGAACCCATCTTAACGTTTCGCTAACTTTGTGAGTATATTTTGCAGGAGCTGGGTAAACTATTGGTCAGAGTAATTCAAGAGTCGAAAACTAACAGCCGAGGGAGGGATTAACGCAGGTATGCAGAGGTGAAACATGAATTCCTTTTATCTCTGGACCTCTTTCGTCCCTGGATTCACGTTTCAAATCTAAGTATGTTGAAAATTTTAGTTATCGTGCCTGAATTCCTCTCCGGCTGCTTTACGCCTTTGGGTAAGCTGAATACTTAAGGTACCCTGACCAATAGCGTTTCTCTGCCACTGAAAAAACTACCTATAAAGCTAGTGAAACGTTGAGATTGGTCTATATACGGCGATTCAAAAAAGCCATGGTCCAAGCTTGAAAGATAATTACTTGAAAGTTAATTTTACAAAAAACGTAAACAACCGGTTTTTGAGAATATGTTGTTGAATAAATTTTTGCAAACATTTGAATAAAACACCATTTTTTTATACCAAATAATGCAATGGGTAAGAAATATATGTATCGTTTATTACCAGCTGTTATACATTGTTTTAATTGAATTATATTTTACCAGCTGGAGAACCAAAACCCAAACCTATAGAAGTAAATTCGGATAGCCCAACCGCCGAAAATTTAGCAAAACTCGAGGAAGACATCCGTGTATCCGCAGAAGAAGCTGTGAACGCTTTTAACAAGGCAGTTTTTATTATAAGATCGTACAATGCAGACATAGAGTACATTATAGAGGAAGCAGTGAATGAAATTAAACCGGAGACTTGGGAATCACTTAAGTCCAAGACGAGGTCTAAACACGAGTGTGTAAGAAGGGCGACAGAAAAAGCCGAAATCGCTGTTAGAGACATAAACAAATTGAAAGAAATTGTTTCCAAGTAAGTTAACTAGTTAATTTCAAAATTAAAAAGAAATACTATTCATTTGTTTTATTTTGTTCTTGTCTTAGGCCTTATTTTATTGTTTTTCTTTTTTTTCCAATACTGTAAAAACTTTTGTTAACTATTTGTCATTACATGTCTAATTTGTTCTCTATAAAATTATGTGATAGAAGTTAGTTTTATTTTCATTTTTGTTAATTTTATTTTATTTTTTAATCAGAAATAGAGTTAAGTCCAAAATTTAATATCTGAACATGTCATGTAACTAATTTTCAACAGACCTTTTTTTTAGATAATTTATTGACAGGTTTTAGTAATGTTAAATGATTCTTCTTCATCATTCAAGAATTAAAGAATTGTTTGGCTTTTACGGCATTAAATTTCGCTCCATCTTTTCAAGGGTCGTCCTATTCTTCTTCCTTTCGGTTTGTAATTAGTATTTATTATTATTAGTATTACTTTTGCTGGATTTGTGTCCGAAAACAGGATGGTAACGTAATACCTGGAAACCGTTGGTGTGCCAAAAATGAATTTTTTGATTGAGCATGTTTGGGACCAACTCAAAGAATAGTAAGAAACATAATACCTGCTCCAATAAATCGTGAGCAGCTTCGATTGGCGCTCATGGAAGAATGCGAAGCTTTTCCTCAAGACAACATCTAGAAGACGAATGAGGAGTGAAATTCAAAAATAGAGATGGTAATCCAGAATATCAGAAATCACGACCCTATTGTAATTTTTATAAAGAAAGCAGAAAAAATTTACAATGTTAATTTTTAAAATTATCCATTAAAATCATCATTTTGGGAGAAGTATTTTTTTAACATTTGTTACTTAAGAAATGGTTGCATACTGCTTTAGATCATAGATCACATTCTTAAACTGGTACAAAAACAACAATATCATTTGTTCCCTAAATGCATTTTAGCGCTGAAATCCTTTTTGCTTTGTTCCGAGTTTCCCTGTATATGTCTTTAATTTGCTGGTCTTATTTAGCAAGTCCTTGTGATACGCCCGTTTCTTTTGAAGTACTTCATTTTTTACTTGTTAATTTCATTGTTATAATTTCCTGGTTTTTACATATATTTCTTTTTCCCCACCTATTGTCTCATACGCTGCCCTTTCGTATATGTTCATAAATTCCCAAAAAATTTTTTTTTTTTTTGGTATTTATATTAGTTTCCTGCATTTCCTTGACGTGTTCCTATATTATTTGAAAGACGTTTAACCTTTTAGTGGAAAAACATATTTTATTGCTTTTGCGCTACATAATTTTTTATTAATTGATGGATTCGACCGTTACTTGATGGAAATTCATTTTATCTAACAAGAAAACACTGAAAACTTTGTTTTCAAAATTCCACAAAATTTATTTTAAATATTATCACTACAGCTGTATCGGCTGATTGCCTTTCTCAAGTGATCTATTTTGGCTTGGGTTTACAAATTTATAGTCTCTAATGAAGTAGGTTGAGGAGGGGAGAACTAAAAGAATGATTATGATCTAGAAGGTGAAGTGCGTATGTCGAATCTGTTTTTCTATTCTTGAAAGCCCTTTTATGTTCTGCTATTCGTTTATCAAAGTTTCTACCAGTTTGACTGATGTAAGTTTTTGGGCAGTCCCCCAAACTTCAATGTGGTGACTGCCCAAAAACTTACATCGGTCAAACTGGTAGAAACTTTGATAAACGAATAGCAGAACATAAAAGGGCTTTCAAGAATAGAAAAACAGATTCGACATACGCACTTCACCTTGTAGATCATAATCATTCTTTTAATGACAAATTTAAAATTCTTCACATTCAAAATAAAGACCTTAAGCTATCTTTGTTAGAATCTATGGAAATCAACAAATTAAAAAACACAGATATAATTCTGAATGACCAACTTGAGACAAACAGTTCTCCCCTCCTTAACCTATTTCGTTAGAGACTATAAATTTGTAAACCCAAGCCAAAATAGATCACTTGAGAAAGGCAATCAGCAGAAACAGCTGTAGTGATAATATTTAAAATAAATTTTGTGGAAGTTTGAAAACAAAGTTTTCAGTGTTTTATTGTTAGAATTTTTTATTACATTTTATTTCTATTTAGACCATCATTCGATGCTGATCCCATTACCAAACAGACGATCCAAAGTAATATTACCAGAGTTCAAGAAGACATAGAACACGCCAAGAGGGAATTTGAACGTGAACAAAAGTTGGGCAGTGTAGCCGAAAAGTATTGGGACAAAGTAGAAAAAGCTAGACAAAACTTTTCCGAAGAATTGGAGAGTCTTTTTCCTACGATAGATCTTTCGAAAAAACATCTCTGCGTGCCTGAAGAGGACTTAGATCTTTTTGTTCTTCACACGTACGCTCACGTATTATATTATCAAAAAGAGTTGGCTAAGATGGAAACCATCGTTCAAGAACGATTGAGGGCTGCGACCGAAGTCGCCAGACAAGGAGGCGGTGAAGTTTTGAACAACGCTCAAATTTGTGAGGCAGTAGAACAAGAGAAGAGGAGACTTACATTATGTTTCCAACAGCAGGTAATAATGTCAATTAATTTAAACATTTTTATATGATCCAATCCATGTCTTTATATATACACATTTATATTGTTATATATGTATATAGTTATATACAGGGTGGTAAATCGTTGAACGGGCAATAGAAAACGCAATGGAAAATTTTAAATTGTTGAATTCCTGCTTCCCCAATTATTTTACACCGAAAGTAATGGGAAACTATTTGTAGATGACTGAAATCTTGATCGAAAACAAATGTTAAAATTGTTCTACAAATTAAACGTATTCGAAAATTTTGCAAAAATGTAATACGTTTCAGACCACCCCTAAAACTCAGGCCACACGCAGTGCAAGAATGTTTATGACGTTTTGCTTTTGGTCGTATTAATATTTCTGCTATTTGAAGTGCCAACATTTTTATTTTGTGATTTATTGTTTAAAAAACAATAAAGTTGTTTAAAAAGTCTCAATTGAAGAGACAGTAGCAATAATAAAAATGTTTTATTTTTGTCAATAGTGCGCGAAGTGTCATTTCTTTATTTAGCGTAAGATATTGTTCTGAAGCTATTTTCTTGTGGCATTGTAAATTAATTACTATTTATAACTGGGAATAAGCCACAATTAAAGATAAAAATACGTTTATTGACGTTTCAATTTCCAATTCGGAAATCGTTCTCAAAATACAAACAGTAAATTAAACACATTTTGTTTTTTGTTACATAGTGAAAAAATTCTTCTAAAATTTAATTTTATCTGACTCATTTATATTGACAATTCAGACATACATTATGCATTTTAAAGTAGACGACTTTAAAATGATATTGCCAATATTGTTGAGTTGCGCTCCTGGGACGACTTTACTTATAAGATAGTTCATTCGATTACATGAAATCAATTTTAACTTGAGAATATCCGTCAGAAAAAAATCATAGCATGTAATTCGTCTTTAAAAAGACAAACACATGACATGATGACAGTAAAATTCTCCTGTTAGTAATTCCATAGTAAATTATGAGGGAAAAACCAGGAAAAAAAACCTCATAATACTATCCCGACATTGTAAGTATTTGTTCGTGAATTTAGTTTACCTTCAACTAACATCAAAATTCTGATTTTATATGTTACGTTATTTAAAAAACATAAATGATGTATGATCTATATGTTACTGACTTACTAATACTGGTATTTTCTTATTAATAACTTTCTCTTTCAATATTGGTAACCAGATCCTACTACATTCTGCCGAGGAATTTGCGACACAATTGGCCTCATTTAGCATAATTAGAGCCGCTTCTTTGATTTTTCTTTTTTTACCATCTGTTTCTTTTAGGACTATATTTGAATTATTCCATTGAATCCTATGTTCATTATCCCATGCGTGTTTACATATTTGAGATCTATCAAATTCTCTATTTTTAATATAAGATTGATGTTCACTTATTCTAACATTTAATGGCCTTGATGATTCACCTAAATAAAACTGATCGCATTCACAAGGTATTTTATAAATGCAATTCTTTGTCCTTTCTTGTTCATTGTTAGGTTTGGTTTTGGACAAAATAGATCTCAAATATGTAAACACGCATGGGATAATGAACATAGGATTCAATGGAATAATTCAAATATAGTTCTAAAAGAAACAGATGGTAAAAAAAGAAAAATCAAAGAAGCGGCTCTAATTATGCTAAATGAGGCCAATTGTGTCGCAAATTCCTCGGCAGAATGTAGTAGGATCTGGTTACCAATATTGAAAGAGGAAGTTATTAATAAGAAAATACCAGTATTAGTAAGTCAGTAACATATAGAGCATACATCATTTATGTTTTTTAAATAACGTAACATATAAAATCAGAATTTTGATGTTAGTTGAAGGTAAACTAAATTCACGAACAAATACTTACAATGTCGGGATAGTATTATGAGGTTTTTTTTTCCTGGTTTTTCCCTCATAATTTACTATGGAATTACTAACAGGAGAATTTTACTGTCATCATGTCATGTGTTTGTCTTTTTAAAGACGAATTACATGCTATGATTTTTTTCTGACGGATATTCTCAAGTTAAAGTTGATTTCATGTAATCGAATGAACTATCTTATAAGTAAAGTCGTCCCAGGAGCGCAACTCAACAATATTGGCAATATCATTTTAAAGTCGTCTACTTTAAAATGCATAATGTATGTCTGAATTGTCAATATAAATGAGTCAGATAAAATTAAATTATTAGAAGAATTTTTTCACTATGTAACAAAAAACAAAATTTGTTTAATTTACTGTTTGTATTTTGAGAACGATTTCCGAATTGGAAATTGAAACGTCAATAAACGTATTTTTATCTTTAATTGTGGCTTATTCCCAGTTATAAATAGTAATTAATTTAGCGTAAGATATCCCAATAGACCAAGTCATTTAACAATTCAGAGAAATTTAGAAAATCAAAATGAAATAAATATATAACCAGCAACAGTAAAAAATCCTGGTGTGAGTTCTCGGGCCATTGCAGACCAGTTTAATATTCATAATTCCACGGCCTTATGCCATCAAAGACTGTGAGAAGTAGGTACTTCTTCTTGTAGTTTCTTCATCATGTAGCTGAGGTCGTCTTGGTCTTGTGCAATTTAAAGCCTACCTGGAGCAAAACGTTTAAACCTACTACAGCACCACATTGTTCTCGAAAATTTGTAGAACTGCTGGTGACACATTCAATGATATCTGGCTCCAACAGGATGGTCGCCCTTCACATAACAACTACATATTACAATATCTTCTACGAAATACTCAGATTCCTTGGCTGCTAAGCCCATGAATCAAGCCAGCAAGGCTTAAGATTGTAAGATATGAGTTCCTACTGCTTATAATGCTAGGAAAGGCAGTTGGACGAAAAAGCGTGGGACGTAAAAGAATTTCTTGGCTGCCAAACGTTTGTGAATGGTTCAGAATGACATCGGTCGAATTATTCCGTGCAACAATTTTGAAAGTGCAAATAGCCATATTGATTAGCAACCTCCACAGGAGACGTTCAATGCAAGAAGAAGAAGAAGAAGAGAGTTCTAATACGAAGGAGTATTTAATACATATAAAGATTAATGAAATGCCATAGTCCTTACTGAGTTATTAGCGGCGTATTTCAGCACTAACACCTATTTTTACCGCCAATTTTTTATTTGACCCCACTTAATTAATACAAATAATGCCAATTCAGATATCTATTATACTTAACACATAATATAGTCGAGCTTACAAGATTGTCTGTCACAAAATCGTTAATTTTGTGTACAAAATGTATGTGTATGTTTACAAAAAATGTCTCTAGTGTATGTCTGTGAAAAATAGCGACACATTAGCCGATGAAAGAACGAGGGTGATATTGAGGGGGGGATACAATTTTTACAACAAAACCTATCTTTATTTGGCACTATTCAGAGGGTGACAGTTTTTGAATGTTGGAACAGAAAATTTTGAGTTAATATAATCAAGAAAAGGGGAAACGGGTTGTCGAAGTGCTTAAATGGTATTACGAATTTTTTAGCCAGGAGTCCATTGGAATTTATGTCAAATTATAACACTTGTTCTTATATAGTATTTTTTAACTATTCATAAAAGATATTGTTTTTTCCTTTTTCAATTCTTTCATTGGTGCACCTCATATTAAGAGTATGATGTTTCAATGTTAATAAATTCTTTCTGTTCTATTATGATTTCTATTCTTTATTCTTTTAACTTTTTCATCTCAAGCCTAATAAATTTTATAGATGACTTTACTGTAGCCTCTCTTACACCTAACTTAATATTTACGCCTACTTAGAAATTTGAACTTTTTATGTTTTTTTTAAGGTATTGAAATTAAGAAAACAACATGAGTTAGAACTTAGAGAACAACTTAAGAGGCAATCCCAGACTTTCACTGACCATTTAGATGAAGCAGTTAGAAGACGGGCTGAAGAAATCGAGAGAGAACTGACTAAAAAGTACGACGAATTGTTAGAAGAAGAAAGGTGCAAGGCTAAAATTCAATTGGCAGCCATTGTTGGGCGTCTGAAGGGACTAGATGAAGCTATAACAGGTAATAACAAAGGGCTTTCTTAACTTTTTCAGTGAATATTTGAACGATATTTTCAATCCGTGTGTACAGCACTCCCAAACTAGTTTTACCGCTGCATTAAAACAAAAACGGCAGTTCATTTCCCCGTAGTTCGTGACAAAAAGGGAGAATAGAGTGTTGTGCATCAGCTCGTGTAGATAATAATTTTCGAAATATATGCAATATTTTTCAGGCGTGTTTTTTTTTATTAAACGTGAACGAATATTTATATTTGTATTTCGAAATTGACGTTAAATAGTTATGTGTTTACCCTGTAACAACATTATTAGAAATTCTCGAAACAGGTCGATTTTTGATTTTAATTTACTATTTTTTCAAATCATAATCTAATATACAGGGTAAAACACCTTCGTATGATGACTTCATCACTATTTTTTTTAAATGGAACCCCCATTTTTTTCAATTTATAGATTTTCCTTGCTGAGCTGATTTCAAAAATGTATCACATTGCGTCAAATGGGTATAGGGTGGCAAACATGTACGATAATTGGTAGGATTTTTACTATTGTCCTTTTTCTGTATTGGTATGGTAATGCTTGTCCTCCACTAGTCTGGTATATTATTAATATTCAAAATTTTTCTGAAAAAGCATCTGTATGTTTTTAATTATCGTTTCTCCGCCGGAATTCCTGCTCAATCCACCCAACAGCAGTACAGGCAGTTACACAGTGGAGATCCCAACCATTAAAAAAATCAGCTATAAAAAGTATGAAATAGAATAAAAGGGCAGAAGCTAACGACATTTATCGATTTCATTTAACATTTATCGATTTCAAACAAATATTTGATAAAGTAATAAGAAGACATCTTTAATACAGTATTGTGCGAATTAATGGAATCACTGTGATTTTTTTTTCATTTTTTCAATAGTCACAGTTGGCAACACTACCTACACAGTTGACAGCTGACCAAGCATTGAAAACATAACCTTACTGTGTGTTGGTGTGTTTGAATGTGTTTTAGGTCATTTCTTATCAAGCTTGTGTTGCTTTGGGGGTTTTTGTACTATTTTGTGTTGTTTTTGGTTTTATTCCAACATGGATATTACGCCTAGGAAGCGTGAAAAGATTGTCACGTTGAGTGAACACATTAGTATGTCACAAAGAGAGATTGCTAGAACGTGTGGAGTGAGTCAGTGGGTAGTAAGCAAAATTTTGAAGCGTAAACGAGAAACGGGATCAGTGGATGTGAAAAGGTTAGGAAAATGTGGAAGAAAGAGAAAAACAACACCAGCAGATGATAGATTTTTACTTCGAAAGAGCAAATTGGACCCAAGAAAATCAAGCCAAGACCTACAACAAGATCTAGCAGCATCAGCTATAGTGATTCATGACTCAACTGTTCGTAGAAGACTTTTGGAGAATGGTAGAAGGGCAATTCGTCCACGGAAAAAACAGCTTCTAACTGAACGAATGAAGAAACAAAGGCTACTGTGGGCCAAAAAATACTCTAATTGGACTGTAGGCGACTGGAAAAAAGTCCTATTTACAGATGAAACCCACTTTATAGTTCAGGGACAGCGGTCGAAATTCGTCAGGAAGTCTGACAATGAAAAGCTTACACCATCTCATATTGATCAAACCGTAAAACATCCAGTCAAGAAAATGTTTTGGGGATGTTTTTCATACATGGGGGTTGGATCTTTGGTGCCAATTGAAGGCATGATGAACAGCCAAAAATACAAATCCATGTTGGAAAAGTATTTGGACAAACAACTCCAAAAATGTCAACCCCAAGGAGGAGCGATTCTTCAACAGGACTCTGCTCCCTGTCACAAATCAAAGGAAATGATGGCATTTTTCAAAAATAAGAAGATTAATGTTTTAGATTGGCCCGGTAATTCGCCCGACCTCAACCCCATTGAAAATTTATGGGCCATTTGCAAAGCTAGACTGCGAAAAATCGACTGTACCACTAAAACAAAAATGATAGAAGCGGCCATTCAGGTTTGGTATCGAGATGAAAAGATATCTGACAACTGCCAGAAACTCATAGAATCTATGCCAAAACGGGTAAAAGCAGTAATTGCTGCCAAAGGGGCACATATTTCCTACTGAATGATGTAAGTTTACCTTTATAGTTTTGTCAACATATAATTTTGTACTAAATAAACTGTTTTTTCATTAAAACAGCCTATGATTCCATTAATTCGCACAATACTGTAACTCCTAAGCGCGCTAGGAATTTCAGACAAAAATTCTTCAGAATGACATTAATGAATAGCGACAGTAGAAAAGAGACAGTTGGAAAATAATTGCAATTATAACGGATATACTAGGAATGTATGTAAAATATCTGCTAAAAATGAGTTTTTGATCTATCCAAATAGTCTATGTTGTCACTATTTATTCTAGCTTTGGAGTGATTTTAATATTTTTCGTTAGTTTCTCTACCCGAGTGTACATTAGAGATTTACTTTTTTATGATTCTCCAGTCTCTCAAACATTACCATCAGTATTTATGTTCAACTTTCGTGGTTGTTTAACACTTGGCATTTAGAAAAGAAAAAGAAGACGAGCAAGATAACAATGTTAACCAAAACATATTTTTAAATCTGTCAAATATGAGTTTTAAAATTTTATTTACTCGTGATCATTTATATATTTTTTTATACAAATGAAGTTATGTTAGGTGTTTTTTGTATCGGAAAAAAATTTCTGTCATATTATCATGTTGAAGGTAATACTTAAAATTTGTAATATTAGGATCGGTACTATAATTTAAACATTAAAATTTGAACAATTGGATAATGTTTTAAGTATCTATATCACTTACAAAAGCAACTATTACATTTTATCAACAATAAATTTACATAGTAAATGCAGCATAGGAATTTTTCAGTAATAGGACAACAGGAAAACTGCCAAATTAGATTAAATTATAATTTCTTTAGATTATAATTTAAAAAAGAATGTATTTTTTATTTAATATATTTTTTCGGTGGTTTATTGATAGCTAGATTTACCAAGGTGTTTCTCGAAAATATATCTCGAGAATGTGATATTTGTGTATTCTCTGGGGTTGGATAAACATTCACATGTTGAAGTAGAAGTAGTTCATATTTTCTGGCGTATTTGTCTGTCATGTTATCAAGAGTCTCCACGTGTAGATTGTTCGTTTCAAACAGGTAGTTTGGCATAGAAGACATTTCCAAACTTAACTGAAACCTTTTATGTGTACTCTATATAATATTCTACTTTAGGCTTTGGAGAAGGCTTTAATATAATTCTGTCGAGCCTCTTTTGGACCTTACTTCAACACGTACATAAAACGTTTTTTCACTGTGTCACTCATGCTCGCTCGCTGGGCCTTTTTTGGTCCTTGTTGAGGTTCATCACAGTTTCTCCTCATTTTTGAGGTATGGCATAGTTTCCACATGCCTTAGGATACTGGGACAAGGCTAATCAAATCAGTCATCGCTTGATACCCGGAGTCCACCTAATAAACTACTGTTTTAACGTAAAAGAGACTAAGCAAACCCTCAGTCCCATTATGCTAAGCCATGTATCCACCTAGTAACCTACTGGTTTTCCACTGGTTAACATCAACATTGGTAAGCACCTCCCCAACGATTATGGATATGGTATATACCGTTCAGGTTTACACGAGCTAGTATGGCTTCTTGAATCATGCAAAAGCATTTAACAATAAGTTCTGCATCAGTCTAGTTACTGCTGCAATTACCAGTAATCCAGAACTGCATTTGTCACATCAAGGTGGCCTATTTAGGAGCCTAAGTCTCTGTCGAAACAATTCGGATCTGTTCTGACGCACACCAGCGAGGGGGTGAAGTTATTATTTGGCCTATACTCATCTAGGTCTCGATAGATGTATAACTTTCTTTTTTGACAATTTAAATTGTTCTCCGAATCTCGGATCTTTTATTGCTGCATTCTTAGAGCTGATAGTTCACACACAGTTTCACACTGTAAGACAGCACTATCTTTTATTGCAAATCATTTTGGCCCATCTATTGATGTTTTTCAAGCGGTATAGTTTCTGATTTACTATTTCGGTATGTAACTCACAATATCTGTAATCTGTATCTGTAAGTGAGTAACAGATGTTGTGGTGAGAGCTTGCAGATTTAAATGAAGATAAGCTGGTCATGTGGCAAGGATGACAGATGGAAGGTAACACGCAAGTTAACCTAATGGAGAACAAGAGAGATAAACGAAGCAGAAGAAACGAATAAAAGGAGACTATACAATCGATACAAACCGAGGAGGCCTGTGGACAAACGTGCTGGTGATGATGAGGTATGCAGAATCCTTGCGACATTCTCATAGAATTCAATGGAACATTTCGTATATAGTCCTGGAGAAAAGGACAAAGCGAAAAGAATCAAACAAGCTGCTGCTTCTATTTTGTTAAATGAAACCAACTGTGTCGCAAATTCCCCGGTGGATTGTAATAGGATGTGGTTACCAGTATAAAAAGAAAATACCACTAAAAGTAAGTTAAGAACGTATCGGGGATACATAATTTTTATGTTTTAAATTCAGATATATAGAAACTTAGGATATAATGTCAATATTGTGAGTAAACTAAATATATGACTAAGAATATATACCTATTATGCTCGGAATAGTATCATGAGTTTTCTTCCTGGTTTTTTCTCAGGATTTATAATGGAATTACTAGCTAGATGCAGTCTCCATAAAGCACTGTAATGTGGGAAAAAGCAAAAATACTGACACCGTCAGAAGTTGTGATTTAGTACATACAAAGTTATTTATCTGGATAAAACCGTACTGAGAATTTGAAATTTTGTTACAGTCGTTACAGAAAAACCACTGTTAACGTCACAACAAAAGAAAAATACGGCAAAATGAGCAAAATAACATAAAGACTGGACTTTTCATGTATGGAAAGCGATCCAATAGAGAGCTGAATCTAGAAGTGTGTATAGGCACACACACTGTGTGTTGTTCGTAGGCAACATGAATTGTTTTAGCCTGACTTAAAAGACAAGTGAAGTTTCCTGCATATGTGATGATTTGGGGCAATGCCCCATCTTAAGGTGTAGGAAAACTTTGTTGAAGGAATTTTAGAAGAATCTGTTTTACCGATTGTGGAAGAATTCCTGTTTGACTTGATGTGTTTTATTTATAAGTTTTACTGATTTAACAGATATTGCGTGTTTACACAAACAGAACAAATAAGATTAAATAACGTTTATGTAATAATCTTATTTTAGCTCTTGAAAAATACAAACTTTTGAAAAATCTAACGTTAGCCCATCTGAGGTGGGAGGAGGCTCCTATACTATACTATACTATCCCCGTTGATTGTGGTCGACGTCAACTCTTAGTGGTCTATAGCTGTGTACACTTAATGTATACACTTAATAATAGACATTAGAGATATAGGCAGATAAGTGGCCTGAGCTCAGATTGCATATGGCCCACAAGATATATACAATTTTCATAATACAAACAAATAGATGGATTTGTCATTTTACCATAGATTTTTTCAGGAAGTTGTTTTAATATTTCGATACATTGAAACCAGGAATTTACTAGATGTTTTGAAAAACTATTTTATTTAGTAACACAACGAAATGGCAACGTTACATCCATTTTCACGAGGCATGGTTAAAAATAAACAAATTTAAATCTCAAGAAAACAAAAAAAAAAATGTCTTAAATGATGAAAAGATTGCCAATGTGAGTCCATAATACTTTTTTTCTCCGAGGGTGGAAATTTCTTAATAACCGTACCAGGTTAAACCATCCCTAGGGATGGCTGGCGTGTTTTGGATTCAGGGTAGAGGAGTACATCCGAGACCATTTCCCCTTAGAAAAAGGAGGTTCTGCAAACAGATGCTAATCATTTTATCCTGTCTACCAACTAAAACCACCCTCTCCTACTTGTGCGCAGTTAACTGTTGTATGTATCGTACTCCGAAAGTGGGATGGCGGCTGACGACACTTTCGAAGCACTCCCTTCTCTTATCTATATCTTATCTCTGTCATTGGTCCGGCTGGTGTTTCTCTTCTTTTTTTTTAATTACGGTTCGAATGTAATTGTTTTTTATGGCTGCTGTCATGCTGCTCAGCATGTGTTTAACACATGCTGAGTAACACAACCCGTGAAAGTTCACAAAGCCGCCGCAGATACAGTCATATAAGCGCATGCTACTCGCAACAGACTTGTTCTGTCTGCTTGTATCATGAGCCCTTGTAGGACGCATTTCTTTGATGTTAGTTATTAGAATAAATCTATAATACGGAATATATGGGAATGGGAATATTAATCAATACTCACAATCTTAAAATTGTGAATACTAGTATATTCACATTGCAGCGATTGATGAGTAATGGAAATTGTTGGACTTTTTGCTGCATATCTCTTTAAAAAATCGTGTTTTGAGAGAAATTTTGTGATATAAACAGAAAAAAAATGTAGGGGTATACAACTTTTTCATCTTATTTCCGAAGGTTGAAAGCATATTATAAGTGAATAAAAAAAAGTAATGATTTTTTGTAATTCTACAGTGGTCTTATTAATTTGGTATGTTTGTCATGTCAATGTAAACTTTTGATCAGGAAGAAATAGTGGAAGATTTTCAATAGAGTACTTTTATACCCCTTTTTGTCAGTATTTACAATTTTTATAGCATAGTGCAGTACAAAATATACTAATTTTAATATTTTTTTGCAAACAAAGACAGGGACACTTTGTTAACAGGTATTGTAAATTTTTATTTAATTGTATTTTAGTTAGTTAAAATATACAAACAAGGTTAAAGAACTGTTTTCACGATATTTATTAATAAACGTCAAGTTTTTCGTAATGGACATTACAAAATACAATCTTAATCTCGTATTTAACGCCAAAGATAGGGAAACATTCAGATCAGCAGCGTGGAATAAAGACTATAACCCGACGTGTGCTTTTTTATACAAAATACTCTAAACCAACCACTCAATATGACAAGAAAGTTCCCGGAGACTTCCTAAGAAATCAACATAGCCCTGTTTTATACTGAACAGGAATACAAATACCTATAATTAAATTTATTCCCAGACCAAGATAGAATTTTCGGAAAGCAAACTAGAGCGTTTCTCACAAGACCTTGGTGAGATTATAAGATGGATCCTAGCTATAGTGGATACCTTGAAGTGGTTTTAGACAGAACCTCTCTTTCAAAAGTCATACTGAAAATACCGCCTCCAAGTTAAGAACACAACACATATCCAAAAGCTGTGGGGAGCTGCAGCAAACATATTACGAACTTCAGCTTTGAGTCTTCTATACTCCGTTACCGAACACTGTACACCAGTTTGATTGAACGGCACCCACTCTAAAATTATCGACGTCCAACTACATAGAACATTGAGGCTATTGTTGATTACTGACTATAACTTAGCCATGTAGCTCCACCCTCTGTGCGTATACAGAAAGCACTTATAATAAAGTACAATAAAATTATGAATCACCTTGAACTGCTTATCGATAGGGATACACCCCGACTGTCAGCAAACCGACTGGTATCAGGAAATCCACCGTGGGAACCGGTTTTGTCCGACCAACGATATGATCGGAAGGGATCGTTTCTCTGGGATTCATTCGCCGACGTATCTGCCTGAAGTTTTTACTGCTAAGTCTTAGTTAGGATTATCTATTATTCAGACAGACTAGTCCTACCAGGATTTCATTGCCGTTAAAATACGTTATATTAAAATCTGCGTGGATAAACTTCACCATAATTGATGTGGCCGCCGTAGCTCAGCGGCTAAGATACTAGCATCAAGCCGGAACGTATGAGTTCAATTTTGAGCACCGACAACAAAATTTTTAATTTCTAAGAAATATACGAGCAGTCATCGTGTTTCGGGAAATACTTAAAGCCATCGGTCCACCTGGGCTAATGAGCATCGACATTAGTTATTGGAAAAAGGGTTAAAGATATAATTGAGGCAGGAATCTTCCAAAAGGATCATCACGGCAAAAAGGCCATACGATATTATTATTATTATAGCATAATCGATGTTTGCTTTACTTGATGATGGGAATTGTTGTTGATGTATCATGGAATTATTTGACTTTTTAACACTTTTTAACTTAAATTTTTACTGTTTTTGATCATTTCATTATTTTATAGAAAAAAATACCGCAGACGCAGCTAGTAGACAGGCTCAAGTATTGTGGAGCGCATGTCAATCTTTGTTGCGAGCGATTAAAGCTGGTTGTCCGGGATTATCTTGGAAAGAACAAATTAGACCTTTAGAACCGGAAATAACAGCTGTACAAAAAGCAGCAGGTAAGTTTTTTTGTAATATATTGCAAATTAAATACAAGTTCCATATATTTGAAAAATTAATCATATCAATCTATAAGAACAGTTTAGAATCTAACCATTTCAAATAGCGATCAAAATAATGTGACAAACTACAGCTACTTTTTATTATCTTTTAAATATAGATGTTGGTTAATGCATTTTTGCATTTTCGAATTATTATTAATTACCAAATTATAATTGAAGGGTGCAGGGAATAAAGGCACAATGTCACTATTAGTACATTTTTCAGAAAACTACATTTTCTGTGTTTTTATTTTGTAATATTAATTTAATAAAAAAATATTTTAAATTAATAAAAAAAGAATGTCACTGCTAGCGCACAAAAATAAGTTAAACAAGGCCTTTGTTATCTTTTGTTATAATCATTAAAAAACAATATACTTAACAAGAATAATTATTTACTGATGTGGTAAAGATTCAAAGTACTGCTAAGATTCTTTGAAACAAAATGCACTAAGAGACACATCTTCAAATTTTTCTCTAGAAAGAGGTGAGATGCTAAAGGTAACTAACTGTGTCATTGGTTTTTTTTTCCTTTGGAATCACTGTATTTGAAACGAAATTTTCATAGTACGTTGGACGATGAAAAATCAAATGGGGGAGATTTTTGTTCAATTTTCAAAACTTTTATAGGTCTTGTTTGAAATGAACATTTTTTAAAGAATTTGTTATCAAAATACTCATAGTCCAGGATTTCAGCATATTTTGGTCAACTTCAATCACATCAAAAGGAAACGGTTTTTTTCTTGAATTCCGGAAAACTTCAGCCCATTCCTCTGGAAATTCAACTCTTGATTTTTGACTTATAATCCCCATATTTTTAACTGTTTCCATGTATGAATGCCCTCTCATTGGAAAAATCATATGTATGGTCTTAAGTCTCTTCTCTATGAGAACAAGATGATACAGAAATCTTGCAACTCTATAGTTTTTATTTTGACCCCCACAAAAATCTGCGAATATAAATAACTCTTCAACTGAAGGATCAAGGAAATTATGGACGAAATGGTGAAGGAGAGAAGACCTAACACCTGACCTGACCTAGCGCTTATATTCCCTGACGGAAGGTATTGATTTGAGCCTTTATAGTACTCCTAACATAATATAGCATTAAAATCTCGATTTTCGTAAAAGTTGACATTGCGCCTTTATTCCCTGTACCCTTCAATTAATAAAGGTAAATTAAATAGTCACAGAAATAATTGAACTCTCATAAATGAAACTAAGAAAAAATTAAAAGACATACAACATTTACAATGTTTTTTAGTGGAGTATCATATAATAGACGAACATGCCGCGTAGGGGCAAATATAATAAATAGTAACATGGAAAAACAAAATAACAAACTATGCACATGTAAAATAAAGAATAAAAACAACGAGGTTCAATATTAATAGAAGGCACATAAATATCATAGGTGTATATATTTTAGTTATATTTTTTGTTGTGTAATCCTTGCTCCTGTAAGTATTGATTATGTGAAAGGCTTGGAGGGTTATACTCGAGGAACGTTTAGAACAAGTATTGAGATTTGTTCTTTTCAGCGTGCTGAAAGCATGAGATGTCATTCTATGATTGTCTCCTTTTACCCAGAACGGCGATTTAAAGTTAAAACTGAAAGAAATATTTGGCAAATTAAAGCAATGTAATATGTTATGGTATTTTTTTAAATGCTAGCATAAAAAATACGTGTATCTTACTAATGAAATTAGCACTAAACTCACTAAAGAATTGATCACTCACTAAATGATATTCTAAAAGCAATGAGAGGGATCAGAAGTTTGTAGTGTTAAAAGATATATCTTTCATATAATTAAAACCTAGTTTGAGTAGTTAAAATAATTACTATATTCTCCTTATTTTAGCTGATCAGGATGAATTGGTCTCCGCCGTGATACAAGGCATTCCTAAAGAAGCGAGAGAAAGAGGCGTCTACCCCGAAGATGCATTGAGGGAGCGGTTCTTAAAAGTAGAACAAGTCGCCAGGACAGTCGCATTAATTCCAGAGGAGGGTGCAGCACTACCGGTCCACTTGTTGTCATATTTGCAGTCGTTAATCCTTATCAAGGCCGCTAGTCCTATTCCTCAAAGTGAACTAAATAATGAAATAATAGACGTTTCGACTTTAAACACAAACGATATTCTTCAAAGAGCCAGGTAAGGTTTAAAAACCATATTTAAGATGGTTGCAACAATTATACAATATAATTCTTCCTCCTATGCCGTCCCCATTAACGGAGGTTGGCGATCACACTACTAAAAGTTTCTCTGTCTTTTGCAACGTGGAATAATTCATCTACAGTCATGATTGTCCAGTCTCGAATATTTCGCAGCCATGTCTTCCTCTTTCTATCTATTCCTTTTTTGCCATCGATTCTACCCTGCATGATGACCTGCAGAAGACTATATTTATCATTCCTCAGTATGTGTCCAAGGTATGCAGTCTTGCGTACTTTTATTGTTCTCAACAATTTTTTGTCTCGGCCCATCTTTCTTAGCACTTCCTTATTGGTGACCCTGGCAGTCCATAGAATTCTCAACATTCTCCGGTATATCCAAAGTTCAAAGGCTTCAAGATTCTTAACTATTTGCGCTTTTAACGTCCATGTTTCTAACCGTACAATAGTTGGGACCAGCCGTAACATTCAACAAACCTCAGTCTCAGCGCAGTATTCAAATTTTTATCACAGAACAATGGCTTGAATTTTAAGAACGCTGCCCTTGCCATTTCTATTCGTACCCTGATCTCTTGGTCTGGATCTAACTCTGTGTTGATGTAAGCTACCAGATATTTATATTTTGTCACTCTCTATTTGCTGTCCACCAAGGTTTAGTTGTTCATTATGTATTGGACTCCTTGATACTATCATAAATTTGGTCTTATCTGTGTTGATGTCAAGTCCCATTTGAATGCATTCACTATTTATTGCATCTAGTAAATTTTGTTGTTCTTCTATACTCTCAGCCATAATTACCGTGTCATCTGCAAATCTCATGGTGTTTACGATTTCTCCACCAATTCTTATTCCCTCTTTTCTTTCCCATAAGGCTTTTCTGAATATGGCGTGTGAGTACACGTTGAAAAGCGTCGGAGACAAGACGCATCCTTGCCTGACCCCTCTCGCAATCGGTATATTATTTGTTGCTATATCGTTCACCTTTACTACTGCTTTCTGGTTCCAGTATATAGTATATAGTTCTTTTGAAATGCAATCATTTAAATATATGGTTCAAGAAATTTGATATTTTAATAGACTTTATCCTTTTGGGAGAATTAAGAACAAGATACAATCGAAAATGCAGCGAAATAATCGAAAAAAAAATGGTGTCTTACTTACCTGAATGAATATTGTAATGTGTATAAATTTGCATTTATTTTCTATGTACTAACCTTTTCAAAAGACAAACAGTAAAAATGTCACTTTTAAAGTTATCCAAATGAATAGCTCAAAGCTAAAAGGATGATGGTCCATTGTTGGTCATTATGGAGATAATACTAATTTCTTGTACCTACTTTATCTCATGTAAAATATTGTATAGTATCTAACTAAGCAAAAAAGATAAAGGTGTGCAAGCCATTTAGACTTGACAGTTACGTCTTCTAGGCTAAAATAATGAAGGTGCTACATATGCAGTCTAAAAGGATGACAGTATGACAGTCCATCTAGATCAGATTGCTGACCACAGATGTCTCTGCTATTAGTGCTGTTTGTTGTCCAGATGTTTTGTAAACGTACATATCTGTGTTTATTTACAGCTTTCTGTTATTCTGGTGTAGATTGGTGATATTTTATTATTAAAGTACTGTGCTGTTTAAAATGTCTGACAAAAATTATTCTGCAGCAATTAAAAACTGTTCAAGGAAAAGGTTTTGGTCGCATGCAAGATATAATGAAAAAATTTAGGTTATGTAGCCATGAGTTAGGACCAGACTGTAAATATTTAAGCCTGAGTGCTCTAAAAGCACAAGGTTAAGTGAAAGACAAGACATTATTTCTAAATTCAACCTACTCTTATCACATGATAAACAATTAATGTATCTTTGTGGACTGATAGTATGCTGTCCTATCATGCGCCATAGGACTAAAAAGCCCGAAACTGAAGCAAATTTTCACACATTTTCGTATACTTACAAGGTAAGAGTAGTAAGAAATGAGCAGATAGAAGAAATACCTGTATGTTAGCATTTCTGTCCCATCACGGCAAAAAGAGTACAGACTTTACAAAACAGTCTAATAACAACTGTAACAGGCGTATCACCATTGAACATGCGAGGAAAGGATTGTTCGAAGCCTAATACAAACTAATTTAACCCTACCTGCTACAGCCGATAATCACAATGATCTTGGAAAACTAAACAGGGAACTAAAAACTGTTTTGCAAAAAAAAATTGATGAAAAAATTAATGTCAAAATCACAGCATTCCATATTTATTGAATTACTTCAAAACTATTTGATACTGAGAAGTTTTATTTATTAAAGACCTTCCTGACTAGATAAAATACCAACTTTTACATATGGTTGTACTCGTATTGAAGTGAGGATTCTAATAATAATACAATATACAGAGTGTTGTATTAAAAACATCAAAGTAATATCAGAAAAATGGTAGATCTGAAAAAAATTCAAGCACCCCGTTTGTACAATTCGGACCATCCATTTAAGAGAAAATTAGGTGTTTCCAGACTTTTGGTCCACTCAGTATATTGTTTTAGGTTAGTAACCTAAGTGGTTTTACAAATTGTTTCTTTTTTTAAGTCTAGTATAATTTTTGGAGGAATTTTCGATCAAGGATGTCATTTTTTAGTCCCAAAACAATGCTTTAAAATGAATCAAATACACATAATTTTTTTGACATATGTGTCACTAGAACTTACAACAAATAAAAACTAAAATTACGTTTCCAATGCGTAGTCATCGATACCCTGTGGAAAGGTGTTTCCTTTTTTTTTAGTCTTAATGATTGTCTTGTCGCATGATTTTATGATAATTACATGCTTTTTGATTATGTATTATTAAGCGGGTGTGATCAGCACTAAAACTTTTGGTGAGAACTTACCTTCCCAATTGGTTATTGGGCATTCTTTTTATTTAAGTGGCGTGTAAAAGTTTTTTATTGATAAGATAGTAGTATTATCGTGCGGTAGTTCTTCTGTAACCTTAAAAAAGTATAACGATTGTATTTGGGAATATTACGCTTATGCACATATTTACTTAATATAAAAACTGACTTTTTATAGCCCACTATATCTTCTGTTACCTATGTATGTCGTGTATCATTAATTACGCGAATATTTACTGCAGTTTACTATTTATGCGTTTTTTTTTTCAGGTATTGGTTAGATCGAGGTGACTTTACACAGACGTTGCGGTATATGAATTTACTCAAAGGTGCTCCTAGGTGCGTGGCAAAGGAATGGATGGACGAGACTAGAATTTATTTGGAAACCCAACAGGCCGCAAACACGCTGATGGCATACGCCGCCTCTAGCGGTTTGGCGTACTTGTGATGTGTATAAAGAACAAAATAAAAAAATTTCAATAGTTCAATCATGTAATTTCTGATCGATTGTTATATATTATTTATTTCCAATATTTGTCATCAACTTACTTTTTTAAATATATTACATTTTAGCCACCATTGTTGTTATTTGACTATCAGAATTGTTATTCTTTGGTTTAGCCTTTTATGAAAAACAGGTTAAATAAAATTATTAAAAATTTTAAAACTACTTTTATTTAGAGAATCCCATACGATTATGAACATAACTAAGCATTATTTCATAATATTTTATGAAATCATATAAAGTCCATTTGCTTAGCTTGGAAATATTTTGACCGATTTATTGTCGTAAACATACAAATTAATATAATAACTCAAATACACTTATTGTTGCGGACTTCTTCCATTAAAAAGAAGAAGAATTATGAATAATGGGAGTATATATTTATTAATTTTAATAAAAGATTTTATATTTGCAAATAATATTCTATAAAAGACTATTAAATTTCAGAAATAAACATTTAAATCTTTGTTTGTATTGACAGTTTTATTTTATTGATAAACTGAATAATTTTAATAATATAATACTGATACAAAACGTAATACTGATGCTAATAACGTAATACTGATAGTAAACTTACATTAGTGGCGTCATCGGTCATCTAGTTAGTTTTGCTGAAAATCTTAAACATTGAACTAGCGCTCTCGCCAAATCTTAAACTGTCAAAAACGATCTCACCAAAATTATAACTGTCTTGTTTCTGTTGTCTTGTTTATTTTATTAATGTTTGTATTTTGAGAACGATTTCCGAAGTGGAAATTGAAATGTCAATAAACTTATTTAAACTTCAATTGTGGCTTATTCCCATTAAAATAGTAATTAAAAAAGCGCCTGGGTTTGATTTGATCAATGGTGAGATACTAAAAAAATTACCTAGAAGAGCCATAGTAAAGCTGATTACCGTAATAACCATGATACTATGATTAATAAGATAAGATATTGCGCATATGTCGTGACGTCACTCAGTTGCACGTTCGAAATGTCAGTTTTTTGTATGTATTAATAATCTTTAATAAATAGTTTGGAGATATCCTTATGTGTACGATTATTGTAATTATTAAACCTCTTAACTTATTTTCGTCTAGTAATTTAATCATAGAATGCATACAAATCCCATTTAACTTTAACAAGAATTCAAATTCTACTCTCCAATGACGGCATGCGCGAACACGACGGATTTTGTGCTACGGGAAGATCTTATCTTGTTAGTCATAGTATCATGGTAATAACCACATCTTTTAGACTTAGATATTTTCCCACCCTTTGGAAAACTGCAGCGGTTATAATGATACCCAAAGTAGGACAAGATAACCATTTATTAATATTATGGAGGCCAATCTCCTTACTATCCCTAATCTCAAAGGTGTTTGAACAATTGCTATTAGGAAAAATGGACCATATAATTGAACAAAAAATATTATTCTGACCACACCAATTTGGATTTCGTGATAAACACTCCAAAGTTGACCAGATCCATGGAATATTAACTGAATTAGAGAAAGCATTGGAAGGAGACAAAATTTGTTTTTAAAAAGCTAAAGAAAATATTTCCTCTGCAACTCGTTGTATATTGCAGTCATACCTACAACACCGAAGCGTTCTTCCTTTCTAATCCTTTCGGAAAGCTAAATTTAGAACAATATAATGTTAGTGTGATTCGTAACATTCTCAAGAAAAATAGTTACATACCCAAGACATCTTTTAATAATGTCAGCTGAAATGTCAAAAGGAAATAATTTCGCACCACAACCTATAAATCCGAATACCTATGTAACGTTAAAAGCTCAATGATTGATGTTCAACAAGAGTACTTTGATAAGAACTAGTTTTTGTTTTATACAATTCTACTTTTCTTCTTTTTGTTTTTGGAATTTTCAGTATTAATCTCTACAAAAACTTTATATCACAACTATCCATTTTTTTTATAAAATAAAATAAAATAAAAAAGAAAACTACTTTAGTAGAAAAATATAAAATTATTTAATTCATAATAAGTTTACAATTTTTCGAGTGTACAATTTTGATAATAAATTACTTCATAAAACTTCACAAAACGTTTACAACATTTGTATCTATAGGAAAACTCCTCTTGCCTTTCAAAACAAAATTTTGGATTTTCTAAAAATAAAAAAAAAATCATGTCAAAATCAACAAATAGTAAGAATAAAATATATAGGACTTTTGATCAAAAAATAGTGTTGGTCATTTTTTTCGAACAAACAATCTACAAACAAACTGGTTTGGTTAGTAATATAAATAATATAGATAATTAATATAAAAAATACCAAAGAAAGTCTAGATGTTGAAACAAAAAACTGCTTTAATGGATTATTATTATGATACCTGTACGAAAAGGAACAACGAAGTGGCATTGTTATGGAATATGTAATTCTTTATTAAATAAAAAAAAATAATAATTTAATAAATATTTCTTTATAAATTTATAAACCAGGTATGACGTATAATTACACGTCATTTTCAAATCTGTCAGTACAAAAAACATGGCGGCTGATGAAAAGTCCTATTTACGCCACAAAATCATAATGTAAACATAATGACGATAATGAAAAAGTAGACCTAATGACATCATAGAAGAGTAGAAACAAGAGGATAAAGTATGATAAAATATATTTATGAGTGAATATATTATTGATTAATATATTGATATAAAATATATCTATTTTTAGTAGTATATCATAGTAGAAGAGTCAGTTGTATTTGTGATAGAACTGACGGCAAAATAATTCAGAAAATCTATGAGCTGTTACAGCTCCGTCAAAATATAGCCTAAGGTATATGTCGGGTAAGCTATGCATTAAAAATCCCCCTGATACATCACCTAACTTAAACATTTATTTAAATAAAACACTATAATATAAAACAGATTAAGAGCCTTCTGGATATCTCCATGAATAAGCAACTGAGTTATTTACTAATGTAATATTTTTTTTTACAAAAATTTGAAAATGAAAATTCTACTGATGCTATTGGTACGGGGTAAAATAGTGACTATCTTTGAAACTGAAATTACTTAAATACATTCTAAGCTTAAAGTTATTCTTGAGTTTATATAAAATCTTAAATCCAATAATTAAATTGTAAGGTGTATGTAAAAGAGCATTTACAATAATAATTTGATACAAAATTTCCAAAAAAATGAGTAATTTAATAATATAGTTCATGTTCATGAAGTTAAATATGTCATACACATGGTTTTTCATCTACAACTAACCAAAAATCCGTTATGAATAATGTTAAGTCTAAGAATGTTTTGACTTCAGAGAAACCAAATAGAGTCTACTGAAATCAAGTGCATACAAATTCACATATTGATTCAAATATGTAAGGTTTTAAAACAGTAACTATTTAGGCATAAAGTAGCATGTATCTACATTGTATATTATGATATGGATACAAAGCTTGAAGACGTCATCGCAAATTATTAAGTGATACCGTTTTAAGGTTAGTGTAATCTAATAACTAAAATAAAAATCTCTCTATTTTTCGTCCGTAATAAACCCGATTTTTCGAAAATTGAAAAAGTCGATGCATAGTCGATGTGTAAAATTAAATTGATATGATTGACCATGAAAGATTAGACTTAACAGAAACTTAAAACTTTGGACATTGATGCCTGGTTGCACCAACAGATCTTAAGCTCCAGCTTGGCCCAGCTCTGCTTATACCTAGGGCCGCTTTAACTCTCACTAACTTGTCAATTATTTTGTGACGAAAAGTGTCTTAAGATTTTTTGTATGTTCATGTGCTAATTTAAACAATTATATATTTTTTTACTCTGTCATATGTTAAAAAGTCCTTAAATATACATTACAGTAAATGACCATTTACTTTTCTTGTATCCTTTTCTGGAAAAGATCACTGCCTATCTCAATCAACGCATTTGATAATCTACATTATATGGGTTTTTCTATATTATATAGCTGATCATAATAGTTGTTGTCTTCTTCTTGCAAAGATGCAACAGACATTCAACACTAGCAAAGCTGTAATTTACTGAAATGTGTACTTAATAAGTTTTTCTTGTCATCAGACGATACAGTCTTTTTAAGAGATAAGTTTTTCTCTGAATTTAAATATTGATTATATTTTAAGTAGTAACTCTACTTGTTTTATTCATTTTAGAGTGTAACAAATACATGTGAAAATAAAAAAATGCGTATCTGTATTCCACAACACAATTGTCAATTTTTTGAGGTTAGATTGCTCATCTTAAACTCAGACAGCAACTTAAGCTGAAAATAACGGGGACTTGAGATCAGGATCGGTTCACGCTGAAAATTGATCTAAGACTCAATCGTATCAATACGTATGTTTCGTAAGCTGATCTTAAGGCACGTCTTAAGCTTAAGATATGTTGGTGCAACCAGGCATGAGTGACCAAATAAACAAGGTTAACTGATACTTGGCGACGTCTAGGCAATCAATCCAAAATACGGTATAATCCTTGACCGATGCCGTCCATGGATGCCAAAGTGACAAGAATTTCTGAATACAAAATAAAAACAATAAAAGTATCACAGTGAAACGGTAAGCATCATTTTCTCAGAACCGTTGAGGTGGAAAAAAGTGCTTGGCGCCGAAAATGAACAGATACCTGAAAAAAGAAAAATATCTGGACAGTGACGGAACAACAACGGGTGAAGACATATAAAGGAGAACGGGAGATGAGGGTTCAGATAACGAAGAAGAAAGGTCGAAGAAGAGTCGAAAACTCTTTAAGACTCCACCCAAAACAAGAGATAAAGAAAATGACGCACAACTGGATAAACTGATATGATATGATGAAGCAATAGAAATACTTATTGTTAATAACCAGGTTTTAAAAGATAAAATAAAGACCTGAAGACAGAAAATATGGAAATTAAAAAGGAGTTAAATTAAATAAAGGAAATTATTTAATTTACGGAAAAACAAAGTAGAAAAAACAATGAAGTCATGAGTGGACTAGCAATTGGTACCTACGATCAAAGCGTTTTAACAGAGGAATGAGAAACTTCATTAAACATAATTTGGAAGTAGATGTTGAAATTAAAAACGCATACAAACTGGGAGGGAAAACCTGCCTGATGGAATTAGTAGAACATGAAGAGAAGTTAAAGGTTATGAAAAATAAATCCAAACTAATAAATGTTGAAGAAGGAAAAACATACATCAATGACGATACAACAAATAAGGAGAGAGAAAATAATAAAGGAAAATATAGACAATAAAAAAAAACAAAATAGTCCAAATGAGGACACAAAAACTAATAAACCATTATTTCGGAAATACTATGACAAACCAGGAAATGCACATGAGCTATTATATAATAAGTAGCAAAGATTCCCAACTCCTAAAGAAAAACTTGCTAAAAAACTAAAAAATGCAGCCAGCAATGAGTGAGAACATAAACAGTACATATCTAAAACCCACATGAAAAAAAAAAGAAGAGTTCAATGACATGGTCCACAATAACAGAGTAGTTCTCAATTCCAAAGGATGGACATTAGCAACAAGGAATGTCAGAAGAAATCGAACTTGCTGAAGAAGTTGAGAAAATCAGACGTATTTAACTGGCAAGGAACTGATGATGTTCTAATTTCAGTAATCCTGCTGTTAGTAATACCAACCAATGAACTCTGTGTTAAGGATATACTCTTACTATAGAGTAAGAGGCAAATGAACTCAAATCAGTGAAGCCAACGAGAAAACACACTGTTAACTTAAGATTAAATTTCATGTTCAAATTTCACCAGTTCTTAATAATTTATTAGGCAGATTAGCTTAATTATTCACTTTCTAGCAATAAGTTGTCGAATCATATAATAATTTTTTTTATTAGGTTACTGCTAAAATTTATGTTTTTGGATTTTGATGTTGAACAGCTACAATATTTTCAGTAGTGTAATATATTGGCCAGGATTAAGATAAACCCAGCTTACAGCGCTTATATATATATATATATATATATATATATTATATATATATATATATATATATATATATATATATATATATATTAAAATAAAATATGTTTTTAGTGAGGTTGGAAAGAGGGTGACCCCATGATGACAAAAGATGGATGTAAATTATTTAAGATGGAGAGACATTAAAAAATAAGTGAAGATCTATATTCAAAAATAAATATTTAAGGGTGAATAGATAGATATATGGTGTTTCATAACTTACCCTGTTTAACGTATCTGCCATAAATCTATCAGCACTCCTTAATTTCTCTTTTCTTTGGTTCGTTAACTTTTGTTGTACTTCTGGTAATTTTTTGTAATTTCTTTTGGTTATTTCTCTCATCTCCTGTTCAGTGAATAACTTCTGACCTAGAAAGGATGTATGATAATAAAAATAGACATTAATATAGACTGGCCGTTTTTCTGAAAAAGCTTACGCTATCATAGGTAAATTATTATCAGAAGCACCTTTTAAATCATGCAATAAAGTATCAGACATCGATAAAAATAATATCGACCATTACTAAAGTTACCACAATAATATCAGAAATTTACACAGTGATTAAATTATTGAGCCAAGGTTACTGGCTCGTTCAGAGAACAATTTAGAAACTATGTAGCAACATTATAAATTACTATCTTCTGTTAAAAGTACAACTTATATAAATCATTTTTATAAGAAAAAAATTACTACCCCTCTCTAAAATTTTTAAACCCTTCCCCCACAAGCGACTAACAGATTTGAAGGGTCAGGGGGAAGAACGGTTTTAATCCATTTAGCCAAATTTTTCAGGGTACGAAAAACAAAGTTTATCCTTTAAAAATACGGTTTAATTTCTGTTCTAAAAATTTAATTTTAACTTTACATCATGTTATATGCGATATAAATCCTAAAAAAACTATATGTGTTGGTAATATTAAAAATGGATGCTCGATTTAAATTTTCTCTTGACTTCCACCTGCACTCTGGTTGTTTAACCAGTATTCTAGAACAAAACCCAGTTATAGTATGAGTTTTAGTGTATCTACTAATGTTGAAAATCTGATCTGGTACTAATAAAGTCCATAATAAAAGTTGCTGGTCGAAATAACCAACCACGAATTAACCAGAGCCATATCAATAGCATGAGACATCATTATCACTGGTCTCGAGACATGTTCATATTACTATACATGATTTTGTCTCCGTTTCCAAAAAAGTTGAAACCAACTATTACCGCTTTATTTTCATACCATTTTGTGAAAACTATTCCGTCTGTATGGTATACATATAGGTACATAGGGTGGAAATCACCGATGGAATAAAACTATTTCTCTCCTTGTTTTAAAAGATTATAAAAAACGCTGGTGCTCGTCGACTTTTATATATAAATATGCAATTTTAAAACATAAATTTAAATGTACATAGTGACTCTTGCAAGCCTAGCATAGCCGAAAAGCTTATACAGTGTGAAAACCACTTACGGAATAAAATTGTGTGTGTCCTTATTTTAGAAAATTATAAAAAACGCTGGAACACGTCAACTTTTAAATTCAAATGTGCGCTTTTTAAACATAAATTTAAATGTACAGGGCGATTCACGCAAGTGTAGCATGGTTAATCATCGTTATTTTCAATGGAACACCCTGTATATTTTTAAGTTCGTGGAATAGAACATTGGTAGGGAATACAGAAATCCAAAAACCAAATTCTTTGCCAAAACTTTAGCATATAAATAAAAAATTATAACAACTTATGGATCAGAATGTTGACAAATAAACAAAAAAGCCAAACAAAAATGAAACCTCTTAAAAGATCAGGAAGAATATCAAAACAAAAACGAAAATCGAAGACACTAGACTACAAATGTGAATAACAAAAAAGATGACCGATCGAATAATACTTCGATAACTAAGATTGGACATGAAAAGAGCTCCAAAGATTAACACACATCTTCAATACAACAGCCAAGAAATACTATATGATAATATCAGCAGAAAAAACCAAATGTATGACAACATCTAAATACCCAATACGATGTAAAATCTAAATTGATGAGAAAATGATAAAGCAGGAGACACGGTTTAGATATCTGGGAATAGATATAACTAGTTACAGGGATGTTAAGAAAGAAGTACGACAACAAAGCTTACAAGCAAGTAAAGTGGCGGTATCTCTTAATGACACAATCTAGAAAAACAAACACCTAAGACAAAATACAAAAACATAAATCGATGGATGACAAAACGGAAACAGGAGTGCAACGAACACATTAATAGAATGGCAGAGGATAGGATAGTACAAACAGCACGAGATAAGTCACCAGATGGACGAAGAAGTATTGGCAGACCAAGAAAAATATGGTGCGATAATTTAAACAATTTAGGAGGCTAATATTGAAGAAGAAACAAGCATACAAGAAAGAAGAAGAAGTAGACGAAAAGAACGAATCAAGAAAAATTACCAAATAGGTTATCTGTCTTTAAGAAAGTTGAAGGTTATATCAACCTACAAGTAGAAGAGCATAAGATATTTTCATTATTATATTTTTCAACTTTATTACAAATCTTTTTGCCGGGATATGCACTACAATCGACCAGACAATTGGCAGGACGTTCATATAGGGCATCTTTGTTTTGTTCTTCCAAATATTTGCTCGTCTGCTACGCAAATAGATAAAATCTCAGACCAGTTACTATATTTCACAAGTTGAATGAAATAATCTTTCTGCTACTGTCTCAGTGCTGTTTGCATTGTCGTTAATTTTATTTGTAAGATGATATATATACATATAGTAATATAAACTTTGGGATTCGACAAAGATACTTACGTTTCAATCTATTATTGTTAGCATTTTCTTCCAAAAATTTTAATTTTTGTTCATCCTTATTTAACTCTCTTTCTATTTTATTGTTTATAAGTGCCAGCCTTCGGTATTCTGCAGCATCCACAAAATGAGGACGATTTTTTTGCAAATATTCCTAAAAATACGAATTTGTGGATTACAAATACACAAACAGTAATTTATTCATTTATTTTAGAAACCCTATGTTAGAAAATATATTTAAAATCTATTTAAATATTTTATTTTCAATATTATTTTATTATAATATGACCTTAATGTATATTATTTTATTATAATATAAATTTCGTTTGATACTTTAATTACTTATTTTCAATGCAAATATTCATTATCTTGTTTAACTTCCCAAATTCAAATTAGCTGATTCATATTATGTCATCAAGTTCTGAGAAACCACTTATCCTTAAATCTCCCGAAAGCACAACTGCTTTTAAAAGATCAAATTACTTTTGAAATATATATGCATATATTTTGTATTAACCCGACGACCAGAGAGTAGCGTTGGGAAACGTAGAATATCATGGTTGCGCAACCCGAGAGGGTGGTACAGAGCAACTGTCTCTAAAGTCCAAATAGCTATGACGATTGTCGACGTCCGTCGTCGAGATGACACTCGAAGAAAAAAAATGTAAATGTTATTTTTTTATCACTACTAATTTAGTCGAAATGTAATTCGGAAGATACAGGTTTCTGAAATAAACAATTCAATTTAATTTTACATTTCTCTAAAATTCATTCGTTACCAGATATTTATTATTAGAGCTAGTGATAAAGTGGAATTGATCATCAAAATTCTTGTGGATGGGATACCGGGATGATTGTATAACCCCGCACAAGATTACTCTAGAAGACACCAGACACCTCTACTTAAACTAGACTTATTAGTTTTCAACAGCTTAACTGCACAATAATCGAACAAAAATGTATACTCACTTGTAAAGAATATGACTGTTTATTATCTTTTTCGTTATTCATAGTTTTACACACATCATCATTTGAATAGTTGACACTGTTCGTAATATCAATATTTTCACTATCTTCTGCACTTTCTAATCGCTTCATTTTATCTTCATCTTTTCTATAATTATTTTCCCTATTTTTATGTTGTTTTCGATTGAAAGGATTCGGCACTTTAATTTTTATTTCTTCAAGCTTTTTTATTTTTTTCTTTGACCTGAAAATAAAAGTTCGCTATAAAATACTTAATCTAGTTACTACTACTTATTATTTCTGATAATAATTGTCCCCTTTTATAGCGCTAGTGCAGTTTTGGAGTACGACAGGGCTATTTCTTGGGCTTACGGTATACAAGGAAGGTAACAGGGCCGGTGTTACGCTTCAACCGCCTATTATTACCTCTAGTTTTCATTTTATTCAAGCTGAGTCGTCCTGGGACCTGCAGATATTTTAAAAATTATCTAGATGTTTTCGCCAGCGCTGGGGATCAGACCCCGACGTTCTGCGTGATAGTCAGACATTCTACCGTTGGAGCTATCAGGTCCTTACTTATCATTACTACTATACTTACTTTACTTATTTAATCAAGTAAATGAAGTTAACAAGTAACAGAGACCTCCTCCTCATTCCTTGAACGTTTGCCAGGGCGTGGCATTCTTCATATTGTTAGCTTGCTGTCTCCATTGGCTGCGATCCTGTGCCAGATGGACCTCTTGGTCTTCGGCCTTCTACCTTTCCTTCTACTACCAATTCTTCCATGGTCTCTGTTCTTCTAGCTATGTGGCCGAAGTAATTTAGGTATTCATGGTTTACTTTTTTAATAACCTTTTAATAGTCTTTTAAATGAAGCTTTTGCCAGACTTGATAGGTTGATTCTATGTTGTCCAGGACACCTGTAGAATTCTTTCGAAGGTTTTGATTTAACTAATATCGATTTTTTTGACAGTTCATATTTCAGCTGCGTATTTAGCAATGAGAAAAATAAGGGCATTGACCAACTGAAGCTTAGTATTCTTTGTTATTCTTTGGTTTTTCCATATTTTAATTAATTTGGCTGTTGCAGTTCGGGCCATTGCCAGTCTATGTTTGATTTATGAGGAGCAATCGCCACTGTTGGTTATCAGGGAGCCCAAGTATACAAATATGTCTACCACTTCGAAATTCGATACTTGGTATATGTGCGGTAGATTATTATTTGCTTTGTCTACGATCGTTACTTTTGTTTTTTCAATGTTGATCCGAAGTCCGAATTATATATTCAGAATATATGTTGTATAGCAATGGTGCTAGTATGCAGCACTTTCTAGTTCCTTTTCTTCCAAACTTGTTACCATTAGATCAGAATATAGCAACTACATTAAACATTTGTATAAAGAATGAATAAATTCTAAAATGGGTTTTCTTCAAATCAAACTCGAAGTACCTAAAGTACTTAGCTAGTTTTAAGACCATAAGTACAAGTTATGTACATATTTGCATTTCCGGATCCTCAATTTTAATCTTTTAATCGCCTTTACCTGACTGTCCGTGGTTGTCAGGTAAAATGGTCTGTTGTTCGGAGGTATTCCTATTTACTCACATATAAAATGTTCGGTGCCCTAAAAACTGTCCGTTCAGCAGAGATTTCCGATGTGGAGAGGTGTCCGTTAAAAGAAGTTTTACTGTATCAATGTCTTCCAAAGGTAGTTTCTTTCTATAATTTTCATAATTTTCTCTTTGAACCATCTTTGCACCATATATATGATTTTTAAAAGCAAAACGATCTTTAACACTTTGGCTACTGGCTATAAATTTGAAGTTTTTTGCCAGAAACTGAAACTATATTTTGGTCAAATTCACAATATTTAATACTAAAAACATGTAAATATCAACATTTAGGTATTTTTTTGAAAAAAAAAACATGTGTAAGGGCCGTGTCAAAAAATGGTACACACAGTTTGTGGCAGAAATAAATGCGTAATTATTTTCTTAGAAACTATGTGTACCATTTTTGGACACAATGTTTATTTTTTTGCTTGACAGTAATGAGTGTCAAAAAAGCAGTTGGTACACAAAAACTTATCACTGCATGCTAGACAAGATGTTTTAACACGTTTTGTTTCTTTTATAGCAAAGTTACGTGCATTTCTAGCACTATTATTTTTATAACATCTTGTACAACGATCTCTCTGTTCCACTTCGGAAAGTTTATGAGGCGATAAAAAATTTCTGAGGCGATTTCTTCTCTAAATTTAGTGATACTTATCTTTTTGTTTGTTATAGCCTCGTATGCAGTATGTGCATTTATAATAGATGTGTTAACCAAAAGTTCAATTGAAACTTTCCTATATCACTTAATACCCCTACGCACTGCTGATGAATTTGATGCTTTTTGATCAGAGACGTCTATAAATGATTTCACATTATTATACTGCACGATTGTGGAAGGCTTTCTCACGACACCCCTTTTTGTTGGCACGTCCACTATTTCAGGCACAGACTCCGTAGTGAGAAACATGACATCTCTTTTGTCTTTCCATTTTCCAATTATGATTTTACTGTTACTCTGTCTCATGACTAATTCACCCCTTTTTAATTTAGCCTCACTTACTAATTTTGGATTATGCTTCCTGTGTTTTCTCAGTGTGCCTAATAAATGTGTATCTTTGTTCAGAAGTTCGTGTGCTAAATTCACGCTAGTGTAATAATTATCTGTGCACAAAACGCGACCTGAATGTAAAAGTGGTTCCATAAGCTGTAGCACCACTTTTGTACCAATTGGCTTTTCATTAGGTGTTTGCTCTTTTCCTGTATAAATTTTAAAATTGTATGTGTAACCTTTCACTCCACATAGTTTAAATAATTTCACACCGTATTTGTGACGCTTCCCCGGTATATATTGGCGAAAGCTCAGTAGTTCTCGAAAAGAAATCATCGTCTCATCTATACACACATTCCTGTCAGGAGTATATGCTGATTGAAACTTCTTGATTAATAAATTTTGCAAGGGAAGAAATTTTTTGAGCCTATCATCTGAGGCAATTTCGTTGTTTGATAAGTGCAAATTGGACAAAAGAAGCTCAAACCTTATCCTGGACATGTGAACAAATTTTCCAATTTCATTTTTGTACAGCATATTGGTGCTAAAATAATCTTTCAAAGTGGGTTTACGATCCAAACCCATCCATATTAGAAGACCTAAGAAAACAAAAATTTCGGATTGATTTGTGTTTCTCCAATGTCCCAATAATGCTGTTTTTGTTAATGTTTCATTTGTAATTCCTGATACTATTTTCTGTTCAGCATATCTGTTGGTTTCCTCGGCAATAAGTGATAAGATATCGTTGTCAATAAATAATTTATAAAAATAAATTGGATGATCTCCTTCCCTTTGTGCAAAAAAAACTTTGGGAGAATTCTGAATCTTCCGCGAAAGTAAATGTGTTCAAATTACCTACAAAATTATAAACTCAAAACTATAAAAGTGAATACTAATTTATATATTACCTGCACAATTATTCCAAATGACATTAGGATTAGGATTATTTAAAAAATTATCAGGTTCAGAATCGTTGTTGAGAGATTCTAGATCAGATTCGAATTCTAACTCTTGCCCATCACTGTTAATTTCTAAATTAGAGGAAGAAGAACACGAATCTTGATCGTTTGGATCATCTATATCCATAGCATCATCATCATCATCTTCACTAATAAACTCATACTCCATTTCACTCATATTCTCGGCTATTTCACGTAGTTCAGCATCACTTAATTTTTTATTTGACATTTTAAGTACTAATTTTAGAACCGTAAACACACAAGATTAATATTGCACAAACAACAAGTTTCTGCAAGTCAGAAAATGGCCATAATATGCCATCTGCTGAAGGAGTCTCAAACTGCTCCGCCATAATTTTAAAAAATCGGTCATAGTACAGCCATCTGTTGATTAAGTCCCAAACTGCTTCGCCAGAATTTAGCAGTAAACTGTAGGAACCTAGATACGCATTTAAAACCATCAGAACTGTGTTCACCAAATGTACACACAGTACAAATTTGGTACACGCAGTTTCTGGTAACCATCAACTGTGTACCAGAAATGATATACACAGTAGCCAAAGTGTTAAGTAAATAAAATTGTTACAAGTTTTTCTCGTAGGTAAATTCAAATTCTCTTCATTTCGTACCCGACTCTTCAGGTCTCTTCAAATTCAAGTCGATATCCCATCAGCATCCTGACTTTTCATATTTAAAAGGACAGCGCCCCGTGGCCCTCTCTCACTAGCCGCCACTGTATATAACTTAATATATAACAACAGATTTAATAAAACTCATTAAAAATCATAATTTAGAAATTATTTTTGGATATTACGTATGACTAACATTTTATTTATGACTAAAGCACTTACCCACAAATCACGAGAGTGGTCTGTGCACTTACCTAGACCTAAACTTTTCGGGTGTTTCATCTTCTAACGTCAAAGTATATGCTATTCCGTTCCGTTTTTTTTGAGTTTTTTTTAATTGTTGTTTACAATGTTGACAGTATTCAAAATTTTTAGCTTTCACAGATTTTTTACAGGTACAGTAGTTTTCAGCGCGTCTAAAGTGGTCTGTTACAGTTTTAGAAGTGGTTGAAGATTCGGTGGAAGTATCCTACGAAAAAAAAAACATATAAATAACACACTGAAATTGTATCTAATATCTGGTAATACATTAAACACAGAGATAAACTAAAGTACAGAGATAAACAGTTAACCAGAAACTTTATTCAAAATTTATATCTTTCTATATAAAAATATTGTCACGACGTTCGTTTACGCTAATCTCTGAATCCACTGAATGGATTCCAGCGAAATTTTGTGAATTTTGTGAATTTCGGTGTAAATTAAAAGACAGGATATTTTTACCTCGAGAAATGACTTTTATTATTTTTAATTATTGTAAATTATTAGTTGTAAGTTTCATAAGTTTTTAGTAGATTACGGAAATGTTCTACAGGTTTACTTAAATCGAAATTCATTATGTATTTAATGGGTAGAATTGTACCGTGTGTTATTTTTATTTATGTTATAAATAGCAGTACTCAAGATTCTGAGTAAAGTTGAATTATGTTTTATTTTTTACACTGTTCCATCATTTTATTTTCACTGGTTATTGTTAGGCTAAGTGTATTGATATTATATATATATATATATAATATATATATATATATATATATATATATATATATAAAGTAGTTAGGTATTATTGACTGACACGTTATGTAAAATAAAGTTTTATTTTGAGGATGCAGTCATTTAAGTAGGGCAGGATAAGTAAAACTCTTTGTTCTTAAATCAAGCTTTCGCAAAATTTATTTGCTTCATCAGGATATGCTAAAATATGTTATGGTAAATACAATGAAATTAGAATTAAAAAAAAAACATTGTATAAAACTAATATAAAAACTTACAACATGAGGTTAAACCATTAAATTATTAAATTCACAAAACATTATGAGTTTTTCCTAAATTATATTTTTATGCAAGTACAATATTTTAATTTTGAATATATTGTGACATTGATTAATAATGATGTTTGATTTATGTCAGAAAGACACTCGTGTCTGTTTTTATTATTGATAATTAGCTCTAGATTGTTATTATGCTTACGTAAAAAGTGGCGCCAAATATGAATATTTAAATTTTTGAAAATATAGTATTTATAGTCAGAAAATCATATATTAGAAAATTAAAGTATTAATTTTCGTAAGATAGAATGTAATTATAGATATTGCTGAGTTTGTTAATATCAATTTTTTTATTAACGCATTGATATTTATTTATGCATACCATTTCTAAAAATTCTCTTTTATTTAATTGGTTTTCACGTCTTAATATATTAGTTTCATTAAAATTAAATGAATGATTATTATTAATTGCATGATCTATTAATGCACACGTATTTTTATTAATTCTAAGGTCACTTTTATGTGATGTTAGTCTATCTATTAGATTTCTAGATGTGTGTCCGATGTATGACTTATCACAATTTTGGCATGGTATTCTATAAACTACATTTGAGCTTTCCATAATGCTAATAGGTGATTTAGTTTTTGTATATAATGATGCTAATGTCTTAACATTTTTAGTTGCATTGTTTTAATGAAACTAATATATTAAGACGTGAAAACCAATTAAATAAAAGAGAATTTTTAGAAATGGTATGCATAAATAAAATCAATGCGTTAATAAAAAAACTGATATTAACAAACTCAGCAATATCTATAATTACATTCTATCTTACGAAAATTAATACTTTAATTTTCTAATATATGATTTTCTGACTATAAATACTATATTTTCAAAAATTTAAATATTCATATTTGGCGCCACTTTTTACGTAAGCATAATAACAATCTAGAGCTAATTATCAATAATAAAAACAGACACGAGTGTCTTTCTGACATAAATCAAACATCATTATTAATCAATGTCACAATATATTCAAAATTAAAATATTGTACTTGCATAAAAATATAATTTAGGAAAAACTCATAATGTTTTGTGAATTTAATAATTTAATGGTTTAACCTCATGTTGTAAGTTTTTATATTAGTTTTATACAATGTTTTTTTTTAATTCTAATTTCATTGTATTTACCATAACATATTTTAGCATATCCTGATGAAGCAAATAAATTTTGCGAAAGCTTGATTTAAGAACAAAGAGTTTTACTTATCCTGCCCTACTTAAATGACTGCATCCTCAAAATAAAACTTTATTATATACACTTCATCTAATTTATATAACGATGTACGTCATCGGCGTCATAGCCTGTGACGTCATATAATACCAACACGAAATATTTAGGGTTTAGGTGTGTTCTTTTTAGAATCACTTTACCGAGTACACTGGCATTACAGCGACTAGGCATATTTTGTTATATACGCGTAGAAATAATATTTAAAAATTTCTATTAATGTTAACTTAAAGAAATACACAATAATATGTTTCATTTAATTTGTATAAATCTATTATAAAGAGTTTTTATCAACAACATTTGTTCGGAACACACTGTAACTGTAATCGAACGAAGGTAAAATTTTGGCATAAATTGGTAACACTTATTTGACAGTTGCGGTGTTGACACTTTTTGTACTTTATTATTTTGAATTTTAAAGTGAATACCACTTGTTTTATATTTTTACCTATTTAATAAAATCTGTTCTTTTTAGAAAAAAATTAGTGTATTTTATTTCAAAAATGTCACGTAAGAAGTTAAATAGTCGTTGTAAAGAGATGGTAATACTTTTGCAATAACTATGTGACCTATTTGATTTAAAATGGAGTCAGGATTTTTTTATACTTTGGCAACTATGTCAACTTCGATCTCTGGCGTAGATAATGACGTAAGTCGTTATCTAAATTAGATGAAGTATATATATATATATATTATATATATATATATATATATATATATATATATATATATATTTTAGTGGATTCTCTTGGGCTTAGGTTCATAAAAAAAATTTAGTTTGATACTAAGACATTTTTATATATATTTTTTCCGACGTTTCGGCAGGAAATCCATGCCTTTTTCAAGAATATATATTGACTAAAAAAAAAAACATTCTATGACAGACATAATATGGTTTAAAAAATAAACTTTTGACTTACCAAGCATGTAAAGATTTGGTGTTAACAATTAGACGTCACAATTAAAATAATTTTAAAACATAGGACATACCCACTAAGTCACTAAAAGTAAAATGTATTTTAAATCTAATGTGTTGTTTATTGATGTTAGCTTATCGTTTAAACAATCAGTTATTTTAACATCATAGGCGTTCTGAGATTGACTTATGTGTATTTAAATTAAGTTAAAATATATTTTGTTCAAATTTTTGACATCTTTTTTATCATTTATTGCGTTATTATTTTTTTTTATTTGTATAGACTCTAGAAGCTCTCTCTTCTTCCTGTTGGCTTCACTTTTTAGGATCTTGGTTTGCTCAAAATCAAATTTATGTTTTTTTTCGTTTTCATGTTTTGTGAGGGCGGTTGAGTTTTTTTTGTCATATTTGTGGGAACGTATTCTTGAATTAAGTAGTTGACTGGTTTGTCCAATATAAACTCCATCACAATTCGAGCAGGGAATTTCATATACAACATGTGATCTTTTTAATAGAGGGGTTTTTGTTTTCAATCTTGTAAAATTCCTTTTCAAAAGATTGTGACCTTTATGAGCAACCGTAATATTATGTTTAGAAAGAAGATTTGCTATTTGTTCTGATAACCCTTTTATATAGGGGAGAGACATATAGTTTTTCTTTACCGTGTTGGTTTTATTATTATTATTGTTATTGTAAAATTTATGGAGTCGCGATTTGAAAGTGTTGTCGATAAGGTGGTGTGGGTATGAATTAAGTGTAAGTGCTGTTTTTGCTTTTTTAATGGCCTGAGGTCTATTGATAGGATCGGATAATCTAATAGCTCTATCAGCGAGTCCGATAACTACTGATTTCTTTTGAGACAGGGGATGATGAGAGTTGAAATTTAGATATCTCGACGACCAGGTTTTTTTGGTGTACCATGAAGTAGTTATAGTGCTGTTTTCCCTATGCAAGGTCAGGTCCAGAAAATTAATTTGATTATTTTTTTCAATTTCTAATGTGAATTTTAGTTTTTGGTGAAAGTTATTGAATTCATTTAGTAAAATATCCATTTTATCCTCTGGTGCTGCACTCAAGCAGTCATCTATATAGCGATAGAAAAAAGGTATATCAAAATCTATTTTATTTAAAACAATTTCTTCTAGATGCTCTAAAACTAATTGAGCGATGGCACTGGATATGCTAGCACCCATAGCACATCCATCTGTTTGTTGGAAGATTTTGTTTTTATATTGGAAATAGGTTGACTTTAATGTTGTTTCGACTGCTAGCAGAAATTCTTCTAGAGGGATGTCTGTGAACGCTTTGATTTCGTTCCACTTTTTTTTAATTATGTCTTTCGCTAAAGCTATTGGAATATTGGTGTATAAAGATACCACATCGAGAGAAACTAATTTATAGTTTGGAGGTAAATGTATATTTTTGAGTTTTAATTTCAGATGATCAGCGTCTTTTAAATAGTGTGGATTTTTATTTATTACGTTGGAAATAATGTTTTTCAAATATTTCGAAAGGTTTTCAAAGGGAGACTGAATACATGAAACAATAGGTCGCAGCGGCACACCCTCTTTATGTGTTTTGGGTAGACCGTATATTTTTGGAATTACAGCATTATGTATCTTGAGGGAATTAGCAGTGTTTGGTGAGATGTAGCACATTTTTTCCCATCTGTCGACTAATTCGTTGTTTCTTTTTTGAAAAATATTCGTAGGGTCATTTTTCATTTCACGGTATTGTCATTCAATAGAGAATCCATTTTACAACATACCGTGAATTCAATAACTTTCACCAAAAACTAAAATTCACATTAGAAATTGAAAAAAATAATCAAATTAATTTTCTGGACCTGACCTTGCATAGGGAAAACAGCACTATAACTACTTCATGGTACACCAAAAAAACCTGGTCGTCGAGATATCTAAATTTCAACTCTCATCATCCCCTGTCTCAAAAGAAATCAGTAGTTATCGGACTCGCTGATAGAGCTATTAGATTATCCGATCCTATCAATAGACCTCAGGCCATTAAAAAAGCAAAAACAGCACTTACACTTAATTCATACCCACACCACCTTATCGACAACACTTTCAAATCGCGACTCCATAAATTTTACAATAACAATAATAATAATAAAACCAACACGGTAAAGAAAAACTATATGTCTCTCCCCTATATAAAAGGGTTATCAGAACAAATAGCAAATCTTCTTTCTAAACATAATATTACGGTTGCTCATAAAGGTCACAATCTTTTGAAAAGGAATTTTACAAGATTGAAAACAAAAACCCCTCTATTAAAAAGATCACATGTTGTGTATGAAATTCCCTGCTCGAATTGTGATGGAGTTTATATTGGACAAACCAGTCAACTACTTAATTCAAGAATACGTTCCCACAAATATAACAAAAAAAAACTCAACCGCCCTCACAAAACATGAAAACGAAAAAAAACATAAATTTGATTTTGAGCAAACCAAGATCCTAAAAAGTGAAGCCAACAGGAAGAAGAGAGAGCTTCTAGAGTCTATACAAATAAAAAAAAATAATAACGCAATAAATGATAAAAAAGATGTCAAAAATTTGAACAAAATATATTTTAACTTAATTTAAATACACATAAGTCAATCTCAGAACGCCTATGATGTTAAAATAACTGATTGTTTAAACGATAAGCTAACATCAATAAACAACACATTAGATTTAAAATACATTTTACTTTTAGTGACTTAGTGGGTATGTCCTATGTTTTAAAATTATTTTAATTGTGACGTCTAATTGTTAACACCAAATCTTTACATGCTTGGTAAGTCAAAAGTTTATTTTTTAAACCATATTATGTCTGTCATAGAATGTTTTTTTTTTTTAGTCAATATATATTCTTGAAAAAGGCATGGATTTCCTGCCGAAACGTCGGAAAAAATATATATAAAAATGTCTTAGTATCAAACTAAATTTTTTTTATGAACCTAAGCCCAAGAGAATCCACTAAAAAATATATATTAAGGTTCAAGAACTAAACTCAAACTATATATATATATATATATATATATATATATATATATATATATATATATATATATAGTTTGAGTTATATATATATATATATATATATATATATATATTATTACATTTAAGAATTACATTTACCTGGTCAATGTTAAGTGGCAAGAATAAAGGTTGAACAAGAACTGTCGGATGAAATAAATATAAAAAGAGGAGTGAGACAAGGCTGTATATTGTCGCCTTTACTTTTTAACTTATATTCGGAGGAAATATTTAAGGAAGCCTTAATGGAGACAACCGAAGGTATTATTGTGAATGGAGTAACCGTCAACAATATTAGATATGCCGATGATACCTTAGTCCTTGCCAATTGCGGAGAAGACCTTCAAAATCTAATGAACAAAATAAAACAGACTTGTGATCAGTATGGATTAAAACTCAACGTTAAGAAAACTAAATATATGATAGTTAGCAAACAAAATTATATACATGATGACGGTATAAAAGTCGGAGATGCCACACTGGACAGAGTAGAGAAACTCGTGTATCTCGGCAGTAATATCAATGAGAGCTGGGATCCAACCGCAGAAATTAAAAGCCGAATAGAACAAGCCCCAGCTGCCTTTGTAAAAATGAGAAACGTACTTTGCAGTCACGATCTTAGCATTGACCTTAGAGTTCGTATGATATCTTGCTACATCTTTCCTGTCCTGCTGTATGGAGTAGAAGCGTGGACTCTAACTGAGGCTATGCTTAAACGCTTGACAGCCTTTGAGATGTGGGTATACAGACGACTACTGAAAATAAGCTGGGTCGACAGAGTTAGAAATGAGGAGGTCCTTAGACGGCTGAACCAAACAACACAACTGGTCAATATAATAAAGAAACGCAAGCTGGAATACTTCGGTCATATTATGAGACACCCTGAAAAATATGATCTTTTACATCTGACCATTCAGGGAAAGATCCAAGGTAATCGTGGTCCTGGTAGAAGAAGAACATCATGGCTGAAAAATCTAAGGCAATGGTATGGAAAATCAACTACATCGTTATTTAGAGCTGCTGTCAATAAAGTCACGATAGCGAATATGGTAGCCAACATGATATCCAACGATCGATAACGGTCATGGAACTAGAAGAAGTAGTTTTTGCAAAATTCTAGTCATTTATCCGGATTTTACAAAAAAGTCCATTTCTAAATAGCCACCCTGGCAGCTGGGTAACGACTAAAACATCCACCTCATTTTTCCTGTAAGGTCTCATAAGATCTCATAAAAGTGGATTTTTGCTTAAATTTGCACTACAATAAATTTTTTTATTTATGAAACTCGTTAAGTCTCGCTTTGTTAAAAAAAAATCAATGACGCACTGCATTTTTCACGATTCAATAGATGAGATACTTGTATTAACTTTATTAAGAATTTCCAACAGTTCTTATTCTTTAGAAATTGAGACAATTTTCGGTATGTTAAGAAAATATTTCAATTACTTACTCCATCTGGATTAGCGAAACATATAGTCGTTAATATGGGCCGTTTCTTGAGGCACACCTCGCAAACGGAAAACTGTTTGTTATTGCTCCGCAATAAGGATATCTGTTCCAATGGCACCTTGTTCCCACAGCAGCAACACGTGCTATGTGAGGATGAGTGTGTGTATACTGAATCGGTTGGTGAGTCTGAAAAATAATACAATTTTTTCAAGAAAATTCTTTATCTATTTTTCGAAACAAAAACTCTTATCACCTGTATCGTGTTTGAATATCCAATATGAGGATAATGTACTATAGGAGGATTGTTAACTGACACTGACTGAATTAATAAACTTGTGTATTCTTTTTCTGGCTCTGGAAAACATTTTAGGAAATGGATGGGTAAATTGTACATTATTAATATTACATTGTGAAAATATGGTTATGGATTAATTCCAAAGGTTTTTAAACATCACTTTAATTCAAAATATTGATATTACGATATTATACAGTGCGTTAATTTTTCAATAAGGCATAGAGTATTACATGTAAGTGGTAAAAAAAAAGTGGTAACAGAGTAAGTCAGTCAGTATATAAAGCAACTACCATTTGTCAACCCCGCCCTTTCAGTACTACAAACCTTTAATTTTAAATTGGAAATACACCATATGTGGCACATCACTAGACAGGTACTTCGCTGGAAAATTCAGGCATCCATGATTTTTTTCCATATTAACTCAATTCTTGTTAAAAAAATCAGTTTATTGATATTAAACCTCTTAAAAACTAAACGTTACGCCTCTGGTTTACTAGTGTTAATTTCAAATTTTTACCCTCGCGTCAAAAATTACATTAAAATCAAATTTGCGACATTAGTAGGAAATTTTATTAAATGCCATTAAATTAATGTAATTAAATTTGTATTTCAAAAACGTTTTCTTATCAGATAATTATTGAATTAAATGTTTAAAATTATATTCACCACCGTCCATACAATTATAAAGTCGCTGTTCGAAATTATGACGAAACTGATGTCGTCAACTGTTCGTCAACTTATTTCTTCCAATGAAGTAGTAGGTACATGGACGTATAAACATAGATGGACATAGCAATAAGATACCTTTAACACACAATTTTTTGAAGCTTCGATAGAATGTGATGCTTCCGCAATGAGCATAAGCGCGCTTGAATTTTTACTCGCGGGTAATTATTCAGATTTTAAAAATTGGAAGTAGTAATAATGTATAAAAACACGTTCAAAGAATTAAATAAAACGAGAGTTTAACTATTAACAAATCACGTCTTTATAGAAAAATTAAAATACCATTTTATTTGCTTTAAAATTATTACAATTAAATATAGTTGAATTCAAGTTAATTTTTTAATAGGTATCAAAATAATGCTACAATAAACAATCTTTATGTTTTCTCCTAAATTTGGTACCCAAATAGTTCGATCGTCAATATTATTTGGAAACCTACATAGAAAAATAAATGAGTTTTATTCATTTCACTAATTTATTTGTATCCATGAGAAATATTAAATTAAAAAGGTACTCAACAGATCTTTTTTAATCAGATGATGTCTACTTACAATTTAAAAATGTCTACTAATTTCATGAACTCATATCTTATTCAATACATTAATGAACATGAATAAACCCAATGGTACGCCTATTAAAATGTAAACAAACACGCTTCCTCATTTCCTCATCTTAAATAATGTAAATTGTATGTACTTACAAATGAAATGGGAGATCGGGATGTAAATATTTCGTTTATTTTATTTCACTTTTCACAAATATCACTCAAAATACAGCCAAAATATCGAAAAACAACTTTTACTAAAAAGTAAACAAACATGGAACAGCATTTGAAGTTTGACGTAGATCCATAAGACAGAGAAATGTCATAAAACCATTGCCATTTATAAATAGTTTTCAGTGCTTCTACATATAAAATAATTGATTGATATCTATTATACGCTATTATTAAATGATAATGCACACTATTTGCTCACTTGATATTTTGATTACAATTAAATATATTAATCTAACCAATAAATTATTATTTTGGTTTGATAGCACCTGTAGAGTATAAAATACGGAGTAATATTTTCAGCGACTCGCGAATAAGAAATTTTAAAACAAAACGTGACAATAGTTGAAGGTGCTGAGAATGTGACCTATTCAAACAATTTTGACTACACAATTTTATGTAAATAACTGAGTCCATCTGTATTTATACGTCCATGAGTAGGTATTATAAATCTTGCTTTTTAAATAATTCCATAGGAAGAAGCCCAGGGGAGTTAAATCGGGGGATCTTGCTTTCTATTCAATAAAACCTCTTCGTCCAATTCTGTTTAAATTCAAATATGGTTGTATAAATTCTCAATACATGTTCCTCCCCTGTATTCATCCGATCCTTAATAGTACCGCTGAGGCTCGGGAATACATCTCGCTAAGAGAAGAGTTTTAGTCGTTAAGAGGGACAGACGCATCTCGACCGTGAACACCGTGGACCAATGCACTTATATTGAAGTCGGTTTGTTCGTTGTTTTGTATAGTGGTGTGTCCCATGGTAATTGGCGGTAAGTTCACCTAGTTTTACCTAAACCTTTGAATTGTTTTGATTGTTTATTGCAACCATTTAAATTTTGATAATTATTTGCACCTATGAGTTAAAGTTCATTTATCTTGACAGGGCTATCGAAGGAAATAGCTGCTGTTAATTTAATAACTATTAATTCTCGTGATAGCTGATTATTTGTTAATACTTCACAAATTCATTGCCTAGGAAGCAGTTCATTAAGGTATGCCTTACGTTTATGCTATAATGCATAGGTGCGTCATCTTGTTGAACTACCTTTTCTCATTTTCTATTATATCTGTCAAAATGGGAATACCTGTGTTAATAATTCTGGATATCCTAGATAAATTCCTGCACATACCTAAACCTGTAATATCATGGCTGTTAGGTATGTGCTTCGTAGAAAACTCTAGTATTTTCATCAGAACATAGAAAGTTTGGATTATTTTATCAGTCGTAGTCTCACAAAACTGTAGTCGCTTGGCCTTATCATCTTCATTTATTTACTTTACCAAGTGTTTTTTGTAGGGACAAAATTTGGAATAGTTCAGTGCTCTCCGTCAATAGTGCGCCAAAAACCAGATTATTGAGCTATTTTCTTATAATTTGAAGTAGGTTCCAAATTAACATGACCAGAAGTTACTACTTCTGCCGCTTTACTCGTAACAAGTTTTTCACGCTCTCTGTTTAATTTTTAACTTTTTTTAATACGTATGAGTGAACAACAGTCAAATAATAAAATTTTTGCAAATTTCTATCAATGCAGTTTTTTACGTGATGAAAAAATTGTCATTAACCCTTGCAAAACAGGCGTTACGTTTAGTTTTTAAGGGATGAAAAACTTTTAATAAATTGATACTTTTTCAAAAGGGCAGTGTCAATATAAATAAAATCATGGATGCTCAAATTATCCAGTGAAATGTCTGACAAATGATCTACAAAAGGTCTATTCCGTACTTAAAATTAAGGGGTTGTGGTACTGGAAGCGAGGAGATTGACAAATGACAGATGTCTGTATCGTTAAAAGATGACCCCTTTGGATTAAAAGTCGACCTGTTTCAGCATTTTCACATATTCCAATGAATATTGCCAATTATTGAGTAACCTACTCTGTATTAGTTATCACAGCAAGAGGTCACAAAAAGTAAATATAGCAGAATATATGGTAGTTAAATATACTAAATATCAAATGACATTCAAATGAACCTGAATAGAGAAGAGAGGCAATTAGTCCATAAATCAAAGTATCAAACTCTAAAATATACCTTGTGTTTATTTGATATTAGTTAGCTATATATTTATTTCTGTGCATGTTTCATAATTTCCACTCAGCACATACTATTCCTTCAATTATTGTTCTGCAAACGTTTTATGATTTTCGCAGTTGGCTTGTTCAGTGTGTGAACGAAATTGTTGGCTTTTTATTGTTTTTAAAAATATGAAATAAATACTTCTTCTCAAACTTAAATATTCGTGAATGCTTTTAAATATTCGTCTAGTTTTCTCTCTCTCTCTCTCTCTCTCTCTCTCTCTCTCTCTTAATCGACCAATCCAGAATTAGACCTGTTTATAACTCTCAATTTGCTGCTTTAAACGAGAACGATACCCAACCACCGATGTCCTGTTTCAAAAACAAACGGAATACCAAAAAGAGCTAAACACAAGACTAAAATCAATAGAGACACTGAAACAAATGGATATAAATGGACTAGATAATAAAATAAAAGTAACTGTAACAACATCGGTTAAGAAAATATGCTCAAACACGAAAACAGCCAAAACATCTAAACTCTAATCTAGTACAATTAAACTACTCCAAGAAAGACGAAACAGAACAAATCGAACTTCGGACAGCTTCAAAAGTTCAAACAAAAACGTAAAGAAAATTAGGAAGGATCATAGCAACTATACTAATAATCTAATAAAAAATATACTACACAATATCTGCAATATGAAAGTACTGAAAGCAATAAACTCAAGCGGCATAACAAAAATCATAGAAATAAAAAATGAGAAAAACGTCACCATCCGAGACAGAAAGGAAATAAGCGAGGCCATTGAAAAATTCTACACTAAATTATACTCAGTAAATACACAACCTCAACAACGACGTACTGAACGAACAATAATTAACACCGAACATAACCGATTATGAAATAAGAATCAACTAAATCAACTAAAAACGAATAAATGTCCGGGAGAGGATAAAATTACAGTTGAACATTAAAAATTGGTGGCAAAAAAATGGAACAGATATTAAATATTTTATTTAATAAAGTAATTGATGAAGGAAAGATTCCTCAAGAATGGTACAACTCGAAGTCATTTTACTATTCAAGAAAGGAGACAAAGCAACAAAGCAAAGACTACTATTGCCATTTGAATCGCCAACCTTCGAAAGAAGACGGCGCTATGAGAAGAAGAAGAATTTTATGTTTTCCGTCACTGAGGCATTCAGTCATTACTTAGTCCCTTGGGGTTTGCTTATTTGCATTTTATGATGAATTTGAGGTTGGAGGATGGTCATATTAAAGTCGAGTGAAAGTTCAGATAAGAAGGTATCAATTATTACGTTTTCTTTGCAATGACCAACCCTGTATTTAGACCTTTGCTACAAAATTTATACTATCAACCATTTTCAAATGCACTATAACTTAGTCCAGCTTGATTGTTTTCCGTATCTTCTGGGATTAAAAATGTTATGAAAGATATTAAAGGAATTGATTTGTATACTTATGATTACATATGTATACATAATACTATAATATATGTCAAATATTTCAAACAAATTCAGAAAATATAAACTACAGAGAGAAAGCGAAAGAGCGTGGAAGTGGTAAATGCACAGTAAGAGATGAAAAATCGCATATTGACAAGAAAATGCAAAGATTTGTATGAATTATCTTATAATATGTCTTTAAATATTTATGCCAACAGAAAGAATAAATATATAGTAGCATGGAAATAATAAGTAACACTGCCTGGGGTAATTGCGGAGTGGATCTCGTATCTTTGCAAGTACCATAGCCGATCTGAAGTGTAGATAAAATGTGGAGGGTGATTGGCAAGGTTAGCGACCTACAAATTGTAAAAACGAATACTGCTCAAAGACGAAAAGTATAGTATGAGCATACAATGTGCAGGCTCGGAACAGGATATATATTATGGAGATGACAACGGCAAAAAATAAGGACAAGAGAATATTATCCAAAAGATGAGAATTACTACATAAAACGCCAATGTGAAGAAATAGAAAGACAAAGCCACAGAGTCTAGGTAAGTAGGTGAGGCAGAGCCCTGCTGATCGGATCCCTAGAGTTTAGGGCTCTAGGAGAGACCGAGGTGAACTGTCTTTGGATTGGAAATCAACTAGTATTTATACATAATATTTTACAAGATTCCAAGTCAAAAGACCAATGATAAAATTGGAAAAGGGAAGGTAGGCGGGGCGATGCGCGCCAAGGGTGCTCATTGGTCATTCTGACCGAGCACTTGGCGACAATATGCGTTCTACAGGATACAAAAAAGAAGAAAAGGACAATCCAAATTAAGTGAATATATTTATACTAATCTACAGTTAAGTAGCAAAACAAAATAGACTCAAAGAAGGGACTAATAGCCCAAAGATACCAAAATCATATCAGAGTGTCAACACTTATCAGAAAAGATTATAACAGCAAAGATAAGAATGGAGAAGGAAGACCTGTACATCATTAGAGTATATGGCCCAGAAAATAGCAAGCCTCAAGCAACAAGGGTAACATTTTATGACGAGTGACAACAAGTAGTAGATCAAGTCGAAAGATGATAATACTAGAAATTTTAACGCTTTTAACCAAGTCTTGGAGAGAAACACAACATGTAATAACTATAAACGAATAGTCTTGGAGAGAAACACAACATGTAATAACTATAAACGAATGAGAAATGAAACGAATATTTCAGTCAGACAAATAAAAAGAAAATAGTCTTTTAGCTTTTAGCTCTATCTCTTTTAGCTCTAAGAGTCAGACAAATAAAAAAAATAGCTAATAGAGCTTCTTATAACAGACGGAAAACGATTTCTATGAAACACAAAAAAATTTTGGAAAATTATTAAAGGGCAAGGAAAAGAGATAATAATAATAAAACTAATAAAAATGAAACACATTCAGAAGGAAATATGTGCAGACTTATGTTGTAGCTAAAGAATAGCTACAACAAGAACAAGTATGTTTTCCAATTAGTATACAGTATTTACTAAGTTTCCATGATATGAGACAAATTAAATTACTGATTGACTATTTGAAACAAATAAATATTACCATTTTAATGCAACAGTGCTAGATAAAAAAATTAAAATATTAGGCTAAAAAAAAATAACAAATAAAAATCTGTGGCTAACGGATCTGCTTCCAAGCCATATTCTCTCTCTCTCTCTCTCTTTCTCACACACAAATACATCCTCACCACACACACATACACAGAAACATGACTTGACACACAGCGGATAAAAGAATGTTAGAAACAGCAGAGATTACAACCCATATAAAAATCGAAGACACTATGGGACAGAGCTAGAAGTACAAGGTAAGAAATACGAGGTAAAGGTGCAAGGTGGAGAACATGAAGGACGGGGTAAGAAATAGACGAGTATAATGTAAAAATATACTATTTAAATTTAAATTCATCTTGCTGAAGTGATATGGAATGGTTTATGTTCAACCATCTTTATTATAAATGTGAAAAATAAATCTTACCGTCAGTCGAAATGGGAGTTTTTTGAGGGGTAGCAGCAGCAGATGCTTCAGTACAATTGTTACTCTTTTCATTTTGACAAGAACAACATCTAGGCTTTTTGCTCTCGCAACAACAGGAGCAACAGGATTCTTTTAAAATTGATTTAGATCTAGCTCTACAACAAACACGACCTGTACATGAAGAGTAGCATCTTCGACGGCCAGTCTTCTTTAAACTTGTTTCTTTTATATAAACAGCTTTTATTTTTCGACTTCTATGTGAGTTATCTGAAGGGGCACAGATCAACATATGTTTGGATTTTTTCTTCCTTTTGTCTCCACAACATAAACACTGTGTTCTACGAATATTTTCAATACTACTTTGAGAGGGACAAATACATGCGCAACTATCTATCGATTGAATATCGCTTGAGAGTAGCTCCGTTTGAATACCTATGGAGTTAAGATTTTTCTTTAAACTGTCAATATCATTTTCTCTGCGTTTTTTACTCTTAACCCTTGGGCTAACTGTTGTAGTTTGTTCACAACTAGAAACTTTTAATTTATCAGTACTTGTACTGATATCATCACTGTGTCTAAGACTTGGACCAACTTTGGCATCTGACGAAGTGAATATAGTTTGTTCACAACTAGAGACTTTTAATTTATCAGTACTTGTACTAATATCATCACTGCATCTAAGACTTGGTCCAACTTTGGCGTCTGACGATGTAAATATAGTTTGTTCACAACTAGAGACTTTTAATTTATCAGTACTTGTACTAATATCATCACTGCATCTAAGATTCGAACCAACTTGGGCATCTGACGATGGAAATATAGTTTGTTCACAACTAGAGACTTTCAAATTATCAGTACTTATGCAAATATCATTACTTTGTCTAAGAATTGAACCAACTTTAGCATCTGACGATGTAAATATAGTTTGTTCACAACTAGAGACTTTTACATTATCAGTACTTGTACTAATATCATCACTGCATCTAAGATTTGGACCAACTTGGGCGTCTGAAGAATTAAATATAGTTTGTTCACAACTAGAGGCTTTTATCTTTTCTGTATTTGTACTAATATCATCACTAATTTTTCTGTGGATAACATTTGGACCAACTTTGGCGTCTGACGATGTAACTATAGTTTGTTCACCACTTGAGACTTTTAAGTTAACTGTAGCTGTATTAATATTATCACTTGATCTTCTATTGACAGAATTTGGACCAATTTTGGCTTCTGACGACGTATTTGTAGTTTGTTCATAACTAGAGACTTTTAATTTATCTGTATTTGTGCTAATATTATCACTGATTTTTTTGTGCTTAAGACTTGGACCAACTTTAGCTTCTGAAGACGTAATTGTAGTTTTTTCATAATTGGAGACATTAATTTTTTTACCTGAACTTGTATTAAAACCGCTATTTCCAATTTCTGTCAACAAATTTTAGTTTAGAACAATATTACTACTTTGTATGAATTATTATGAACATGATAATAAAGGATTATTATAAATAAACAGTATTAAAACAAGATGAGTTTAATTATTATGACATTCTGTATAATTAATTATTAGTAATTACTAATTATAACCATTAGTACATTTTGATAGATATAACCGATACCTATGAGGTCTAACACAGATGAAGCTAATTAAGAGTAATATTCTTAATATTCGTAATATTCAACGAGTCTGTTTTTAATAATTAGTCTTAATAAATGTTTCGTTGAATTTTCTAGAGAATAGAAAAAACTGAGTTACCAGATAAAGTGTTTTCATTTTAAATGTCTGACGTCTACCATAATCTAACCCATTGCTGGATTTAATACGATTGTAGTGCTCTTCCTCGTTTGCAATACAGTTATTCAATAAAGCTATTGAATTCACCAAAGTACAGTGCCGGCAAAAACAATCTTTACACAGTGAATAAAACATATACATAAGGGTAATTGTTATTTTAATTTTACAAATTAATACTTTGTCTATCGTCGTTGTAGTAGATGACAAGCTGCATTCTCTTGAGCATTGATTGAGCAAGGTTTAAGAAATATTTTTCCTCCATACTCACCTACAAACTCTTCAACTCCTCTTTCAGCTGATTTATGTTGCTCCGTAGACACTCTTGAACCTTATTTTTCATCATATTCAGGCGTTCCCGATGGGATTAAGGTCGGGTGAGTCACCTGGCCATTTCGATACGTTGATATTGTGATCATTCAAGAACTTTGACACTGTCTTGGCCTTGTGAGCAAGGGCACCATCGTGCATAAAGAATTCACATTCGTGAATTTCCCATAAATTCAATAAATGTTGTTCTAGAACAGTCACATAGTTGCTTGCCCTCATTGTAACATTCTTTGGCAAGAAATACAACCCTGTCCTTCCTGTATTTTCACTAAACGCACCCCATACCATTACACTTTCCAAATGTTTTGATGGTTTTAACTGTGAACCTGAGATCGTACCTTGAAGCCGTGTGTGGATGACGAACAAATTTGGAGCTTCCTCTTATTAACCTGAACGTACTTTCGTTACTGGACATGACTTTTTTCCATTGTTTAAGTGTCTAATGCTGATACCTTTTAAAAAAATCTAATATTTTTTTCTTCATTATTTTTGTAAGCAAGGGCTTCTTTGCATCATGTCGACTTGGTAATGCTAGATCTTTCTGAAGCCGGTGACGAATCGTTCTTGTTGAAAAGTTCTGAAGGAGATCAGGAGGTTTATTTTTGAGTTCTGTGGCAGTTATGGAAGGGTTCGACATTACATGCTAAACAAGCACAGACAGAACGCATGCAATTTTTCTTCGAATTTAGTGATTTATTTGGCAAAGATTTTTTGCCGGGACTGTACTTATATTATAAACTAGGTTTCTAAATTTAAAGGTGACAGAGCTTGCACAAATATTCATCTCACAGTGAATGTTAAAAACTGCTATTGCTCTGGATGTGATTGAAAAAGTCCTCCATATCGCATTAGATAATTTTCAATTAAAAATGCAATATACTTAGCAGCTATCTGCTTTTGTCCAGCTCAAAAGAGTTAATGCGAATCCAAATTAGTTTAATCTCTTATATTTTCAACCATGAATATTGTTGTAATAGAGTAAAATCAGAAAACAATATCAGGTAAAGCCCTTGCCTTACCTCATATTATCAAATTATCTGACCCTTGCCAGACATGCAAAATAAGATTACCATCAGGAGATCATACCAGTTAATTTAATTTCTTTATTCAAAATTAAGGGCAGCTTCAGCCACTCAGACGGTAGAGTCTCTGACTTCCGGACAGAAGATCGAGGATCGAATCCCAGCGACGTGCGGCGGTGAGAACATCTAGATCTTTTTTAATATGTACAAGCTTCAGGTCGACTCAGCCTGAATAAAAAATAATAGGCAGTTGAAACGTAGCACTGGCCCTGTTACCTTCATTGTATACTGTAGACCCAAGAGATAGCAGACTACTCTGCCATAATCTCAAAGCCGCGCTAGCGATATAAAAAAGGACTATTATTATATTTAAACTATAATAAGGTGTTAATGAGGTCGGCTAAAATATCATTAATACATCTTCGTGCTGACAATTCTCCATCATCAACAACAACTAACTCAGCACGACTTTCTATTGACATTCCGGTATATACCATCTAGGATGATCCACGACTAATATTGGAGCTAAAATAGTTAAAATAGCTAAAATAAAATAGACAGTTAAGGTTTGATTTCGTTACAGTGTACTATCATTCGCTGATATGCATATTTATGCCTTTTAGCTTCGTCAGATCGAACTCACGATAAGCTCTAACGAAATAAAACGTTTTCCAACTATAAAAGTAAATATTTGAAAAATATTTACAGACACCAAAGCGACATCTATTAATGAGAATATAAATCGAAAATCGAATTCAGGATTCAGCCTAGATCTGTATTTTCTAAACGCTGCAAAACAAGCATGCAACGAATGCACTGGCATAGGGATTTATAATTTGTATCCAGGTCATGCTAATTCGGCAGAAATCCCTTCGTGAAAAATGATTTTCTAATACTCCATACTAGAGTAAAGTAATGAAAATAAAAATAGACAGTTAAGGTTTGATTTCGTTACAGCGTACCACCATTCGCTGAAATGCATATTTCCGCCTCTTGGCTTCATCTGATTTAGGCCGAATCGTGAATTCGATTTATATTCTTATTAGTAGATGTCGCTGTAGCGTCTGTTTGTAAATATTTTTCAAATATTATAATCGAAAAAGGTTTTATTTCGTTAGAGCTTACTATGAGTTCGCTCTGATGAAGCCAAGAGGCAGAAATATGCATATCCGCGAATGATGGTACGCTGTAACGAAATCAAACCTTAACTGTCTATTTTATTTTTATTATTCTACTCTAATATGGAGTATTGGGAAATCGTTTTCACGAAGGTATTTGTACTTGGACGAATTGAAATGACGTGGACACAAATTATAAATTCCCATGCCAGTGCATTCGTCTTTTGCTTGCTTTGCAGCGTTTAGAAAATATATATTTAGACTGGACAAATGGCAATATTTATGCCCCTTTATTTATTTCTGGGCCCCTCAGAAATTAAGAATTTTGATAATAAATAAAAATTTTCTCAAAACTGACGGTATGGTAATAATACAACTGTCAAATAATAAATAAAGTAAACCAATCGTTATTATGGCAATCTTAATTTTTGCACATTATAGAATTAATAAACACGTAAATAAAATATGAAGCAAGCTTGCATACATGATAATTACATGGAAATACATCCAAAAGTTGTATTTCCTTAACATAATTTTATTTTTACTCGTATAATATGTACGAATCCTGGTTTACGCAGAAATTTAAATGATGTCAATCCAAAATCGGACCACTTTTTCTTTTTCATTAACATCTAAGAACATTTACAATATCAGAGGGATGTAAGCTGCAGTGACTAAAGTATCATACCACATATTGGGTGATACGCACAGACATAGACACGCGAGTACCAAAACTAAAAATAGCATAAAACACAATCGCTGGCGCCGTTGAAGGTGTAACTGTGAGCTGCACAGTTCCTTTTACTATTTTCGGGACATCTTCCACAATAGAAGGGATATTATATTGCAGAATGGTTCTGGTCTGATAAAAGGAGTACTAGCAAAACTATCAGCAAACTCGTTACCAGAAATTTCTTTATTGTTCGACATCAGAGAAAAAACAGTTACGGACTCACACGTTGTAGACTTCATTCTGGTTATGAGAGAGAATATTTAAAGGGTTTCAGCTATTCTTCAGCACACAATCTAGAAATTACTGATAATTCCGCTCGTCAAGGACTATTGATAGGACCATTAACTCCTATTCCTACTTCTTCATATTATGTTTTTGACCCATCAGTACTTCGAATATGTGAAGATACCTGTTGTGTTTTTAGTGATCTTATTTTATGTTTAGTCACCCTGTTTTATGAAATTTAGTAAGAGTTGAAGATCTTGTTGTGTAGCCATAATGTCTATAGGTATCTTTATGGATTTAGGTGTCAGGTGTCAAGTAAAATAATTTTGTTTAAATACTGAGTAAGGCATTTATATGTAGTGACGTAATGGCTGCAGTGCTGTGCTGTTACATGTAGATACATGGGATGCCAACTCCGACACGGTGCGCCCCAATGGCTAATAGGGAACGCCCTATGGATAATTCGGATATTGAATCAAGTTGTAACGTAGGAAGGAGGCTGCAGGTATGTTATTTCTGTAAATTTGTTGATTGCACAAAAATTAACAATAACACTTATTTACATTATAGTCCAATACAGGCAGCCGCTCTACAACTGGCTCATCATAAGATCAGATTTGTCTACATTTACTGCTCTCTTCAAACCGGCGGTATAATACCATCGTGCCCGTGCATATACAGGGAAAAAGTATTATCTTAAGCGATGCCCTAGAGGGCTGGCGAATTCTTAGGGATTATAGCCTTAGCCTAACAATATTTCGTCCCAACTTGTGGGAACAAATAGTCAGCGAGATTAAAACAAAAAGAGATCGCCCAGAGAGTAACTCTTTTGAGCTTATAAATATAACCGCAACGGGAACGATCAGACAGGTGACTCCATTCGCGGATTGTGTCTCCTCTCCAAATACCGCGCCAAAAGATATTCCAAGAGGAACATTCTCAGACAATTATCAAAATACGTCCCTCTGGAACTCAACAGAAGATTATCAAGAAAGAGGCATAAATAACTGCTGCAGTGGCACGCTCAAAACTGGAGGATAAAAAAGACCTGGAGTCGCTAAAAAACCAAGGAACTCGATTGAGCAGACTATGTCATATGGCAATTTGATGAAACTATTCAGGATGGCGGTATTACCTAGACACCACTCTGATACTGAACTCGATCTGGCTCAAGCAAACCTGATCATCAACAAACTGCAACAAACAGTGGATGGCGCTCCTATCGGAAGTCAGATTCAACTTCTGCGGTTCCACAAAACGATGTTTGGCGCAGGTAGCCTTTTCTGGGTTGTGTTAACGAGGATACAAAAAAAATGAACTACTGATATGGAGGGTGATGAGAAAGAACAGACTTCAATGTTGATGTGCTCACACGCGTCTCCTAGAAACAGACTGATGAAGCAATCATCAGAACCCATCTAAGGAAACAAAATCAAGACCTCAATACTGGTTGTTGAAAAATTGGGAGATCAAGGCGGACTGGCGAATTCTAGTTTACACGATCCACGAGATTTACTATAAAGTATTAAAGGCTACTCATTTCAAGGCTTATTACAGACTTGTAAAGGTATTCGACGCCTCGGTGGCTCCAATCATATTCCTGCAGGCGAACCTCCAGCATAGTAAAGGAGGTTTCGGCAGAACTTACTATTACCGTAGATTCAATGTAGCTTTGATATAAGATCCCTTATTCCTTATTAAATATTGGCTTATTTCAAGCCAAACTATAAATTTCATATTGTTCTGAAGGTATTTTCTTGTTATCAAAACGTCAAAATAAATTCCCAGTAAAAATAGTAAATTGAATAAATTTCGTTGTCAATGTAGGTACTTTTATAACAAATAAATAATAGGTAGCTTGACCAAACCAAATTGTTTATTTCACTCTCTACCTATTACTAAATCCTTTTGATAACAAATAATAAAAACATCCTCTTACCTTTAGTTCCTGATGACTGTGAGCGTGATTTTTTAGAACCATCCGTTGATGTTGCCTCCGTTCTATGCTTTTTAGATACAGTAGATACACCTACGTCAGTTTCGTAGAATATTGGTGAGGTATGTTGATCATTTAATGATTTACGGGTTCGGCCACTTGCTGTGCCTTGATCTACAAAGGTTCTGGCAGTAGTCTGAAATTCTTTATCAACTGCAGGGCTTGGACAAGTTCCTATGTCAATGGATACTCTTGCGGAGCTTTGAGCACTTCTCGGAGATGTTCCTTGCTCAATGGATACTACTCTAGGACTATAATCTGTTTCTTGATCAACAAGTGAAGGCTTATGGCAAGTACTTTTATCAGAAGTTTCTCGAAGAGTATATGTATCAGTTCCTTTTAAAATTTGGGGAACTCTTGCCTCAATATCTTTATCAACCAATTCAATATTTTTGCTTAAAGCACTTATTCCTTTTTCAACTTGAAAAGTTCTAGCACAAGTACCGGAATCAACAGATCCGTTGCTTAAATCTGTGTCAACTTCAGACAGTTTGGCGAAGTATCCTTTACTGGGAATTGATGCTTTGCGTTCATATTGTGTACTACATTCCTCAGTGGATTTACCGACAGGCTTGCTGACAGTTTTAGGAATATCCTTAGAATGTGTCGCTTTTTCTTTTGAACATACCTCAGATTGAATGCTAGTGTGTTTATTTGCATCTGACTCGATAGATGACTTTCTTGAAAGTTTAATTGATTGTGTACCACATTCCTCAGTGGCTTTACCAACAGATTTGTCAACAATTTCAGGAAGACCATGAGAATGTGTTGCTTTTTCTTTTGAACATACTTCAGATTGAATGCTAATGTGTTTATTTGCATCAGACTTTCGTGAATCTAAAGATGTTGTTGCCATATCTACTAATGCAACAGTTTCAGTAGTTACAGCTGCACTTTGAATAGTTCCTGTACTTTCATCACAAATACCTGCTTGTATTAATTCATTGATATGTGTGGGTCCCTCTGTTGAAACAACTTTACACTGTGACCTAAGAGTATCTGTTTGAGAACTACTGCTCATTTTTGAAAACTTTGGTTGAACAGATTTATGTTCTTGTGTGAGCAATATATCCTGAACTTTTTTATCATCAACAGATACATGATTTTGCGTGGCAGCATCAGTACATTCACTGCTTTTAAGTGCTCTAGACTGAACTTCAACATCTTTTTGGCTAAAATGTTGTAGTAATTTATTTACAAAATCACAGCTACATAAATTAGAAGCGCCACATTTGCAATCAGAAAATAATTTTCTTAATAAGTCTGTATTTACTGAACTGCCAGTAGAACTAGTGCCACTTGAAGGTAATTGGCAAATACAAGATGAAATTCCACATTTGGAGCACACAGTTTTATCTGATTTAAAGGAAATACTAGAACAGGTACATGGTGTGCTTTTACACTTGCAATCTGATTTTTTCATTTTACTAGAATTTTTTTTGCATGTACAGGGGCAAGAAGTACATATGGAACATTTTTTTGATTTTGTTTGGGCAGTACATATACAAGATAAGGCTTTACACAAACTGCAAACTTTTCTCTGAGACCCCTCTGATGATTTCTTAGTTGGTATGAATGTTCCCACATATGAATCTTTTGGACTTATGACACACATACAGGAGTATAACTGACAAACTGAACATGTTTTTATATCATGAGTTTTTTTGCAAGAACAGCAAGTACAAGGTGCTCTATGGCAATTGATACATATAGTATGTGAAGAATTTCTGCTGTTAGTAGTGGAACTAGAAGTAGTATTACAAGAACAAGTGCTGGAATAAGTTTTGACTTTGTCATTTAAATGTTTTTGTACTTTATTATCACTGACTTTAAATGGGTTACTTAATCCTTGTAAGAAGTCTGTAACACAAACACATGGTGATCTCTTGCATAGACCACAGAATGCTGTAACTTTAATATTTGTGGTTTTATCTGTAGCTAAGACTTGGATATCTACAACTAAAGGAGGGGATTGGTTATTATCTATACTATGAGCATTTGGATCTTCAACAACATAGTTTTCTCCATTGATTCTAAAATTTCTCTGCCGAGAAGTTCCAGTTCCAAGTTTAGTTTCTATAACATAGTTTCTATGAACAGCATCATTACTATTAGCTGTGACCATGTAAACAGATGTCATTTTAGTTAAATTTTCTGGTAGAGGATAAGGTTCCTTATGTTTTTCTAATATATTTTTTAGTTTACCCAAATGATTAATTTCCCTATCTATCCAGTTAAGCTGGTACTGTCTTTCTTTATCAGCAAATTGTGTAACTTGATCACCAGCTCCAATGATTTGTCCACTATTTTCGAACATTTTCTCTGATATGGTTTTACATTCTTTCCAATTTTGATGTGACTGTGGAGATGAAGATTTATCTGAAGATGAAGAGTTTTTAGGTTCTCTAGTAAGTGTAAATGGAGTTCTTTTTGTTCTTGTAGTCACTGGTGCTTCAGATTGGATAGAAGGTTTACTAAGAAGATTGGTAAATTGCACACTATCCAATTTCTTCTTTTGGGTGGGTTTACTTTCTTTTCTGTAACCAAATGTAGAAGCCTTAGAAGTTGAAGGTTTAATTTCTGTCTTTTGTTCTCTTTCGTGAGATATGTCAGAGTCTGTGCTTTCAGATACTTTCTTTTTGGGAGATACCTTCTTGTCTTCATGAGATTGGTAAGAAGATGATGTGTTTTCATTTTTAAATGAAGAATTTTTAATTTGATCATGAAGAATTTTCGAAGGGTCTGTTTTAGGATAAAAAAGATCAGAACTTGTACTTGAGTCCTCTAAGTACTTAGACTCAGTTATTTTTTGTAAAATTTTTCTGATGTATTTTCTTTTGGCAGAGGAATCATATTTCTTTGATCTTATTAATCTTTGTAAAACATATATGTGCTTTTCTATGTCATAACCAGATTTTGTAGAGTCATTTGTAATTTCTTGATTATTTGTTGCAGCTTCAGAGTTTTCAGAATTAGTAGAATTCGCTTCATTGTTATCTAAAACATTAATTTACTTAATATGTATCAAAATATTGTAAAATTGTATTTAAAAAGAAAAACAATAATATAAGAATATTAGATGGAAATCTTGTTCAACTATCATATCCCATAGAGTCCTTCTGAGCGATATTGGACAATTTTCCAAATGCAGTTATTAAATTATTAACAACATCTAAAATGAACAGCGGAGAACCAAGGAGAACATGGAGAAACAACATCATGGATGCAATATGTTAAGTTTATATAAACAATATAAATAGATTATAAATATCAGCTATAGAAATAGAATAATTAGAGGACACTGCAACAAAAACTTTGTTGATCTTGGCTCAGTTGGTTGGAATGTTAATTACTCTCACACAATAATAGAAAAACAAATTATATACATTTTCTAATTTATTGTTTACAATTTTCTTCTTTATTTAAACTAAAAATTTATAGTAGATGACATGATTAAAAATATGTTGATATTTAGATACCTTCAAGGCATATGCTGGTTAATTATTTGTCAGGAATGGAATAAAAAAAGAAACAATACCATTGAAGGCTAAAATGCATTTCAATGCATGATCAATTTTAAGTATTTCGCAAAATACTGGCCATTCATATGTGGTGAAATGATGACTACCTTTGAGAATAAAGTAGCTCAAATAAATTCTAAGCTTAAACTTAAGTCTAATATCATACAGCCTGGATCAAATGATAAATCCGGAAATGAAAATATTGAAGTTTATGTAAAAAACAATAACAAGAATAGTCTGGTAAAATAACAAAAAAAATTATTAGTATAAGTAAGGTGTAGGTGATACATAATTTTTTTCACCCATATTTCACTAAATATTTTGAGATATCAATCTCAATGAAAATTAAAGTTTGTGAATATTTACACCTCAAATATAAAAAATCAAGTTAAGTAAAATAAAATACATAAAAATTCACATACTGTTCAAAATAAGCAATATCTTTAAATTAATATTCAGGAATGATTATTATTTTTAAACAAACAAAGCAGAAAATGTAATAATTCCGGAGAACGAACATCTAGCTTACATCTAGTTTTAGATTTGGATGTGTACAGAAAGCTTGAAGAAATAATTACAGAGTTAGGTCCAAATGGGTAATTCTCCACTAAATGGAAAATCCCTGTCCCAAGATAAGCTTATGTAATAAATGTTAATATTCTTATGTTTTTTGTATTAATAATATTATATTATTAGGAGTTAACTTAACAGCATATTTAGTAATTTAATAACGGAATATTTAAATAAATGAACCTCAAACACCTCAAAACACAGTCACATGGTATGTCCCTCTCTAGAATTACAAATCTTGTTATAAGTATTTAATTTTTTTTGTCATTAATAACTGAATAAAGAATATCCAAATACATAAAAATATTGATAAGCATCTTTAGACATTAACATTATATTATTAAGTAAAATTTTAATAAAAATATCTATATGCAAATGCTGTGCTCAAATTATTCAAACAGTCCTCTGTTAAAATTTTAAAATCGCGATGATTCAAGTTTATTTTTTATTTTATTTATTTCAACGGTAGAACCATTTACAATAAACTAGCACAAATAGTAAAAAGTAAAGATTATGTACAATAAACATCAAAACAATATCAAAGAACAATTAAACAGTAAAAATTTGTACATTAAAACAGTATATCAAATCGCAAGAGTTAAAAAAATATCACATATCTAGATTAATAATTGATTCTTAAGTTGCCTTTTGAAAACATTAATGTTTGGACAGAGTGGATTCAATAGGAGGTCATTGCAAGAGCTGAGCATTCTCAATAAGGGAAAATGATGAGCATAATGAGTCCTATGAAAAGAAATATAAAATAGTGCAGTTCTATATACTGTATATACAGCCAAGTATATATTGGCTAATAAGGGGGGACCATTAATAATGTTGTTTAGAATTTTAGACAAAAATAACATATCAGCTCTCAACCTGTGGTTCTTCAATGTAGTAATGTTAAATTGAGACATTATTATGAAATAATCTATGAAATAATTTTCAGTATTTCTTATATTAATATGTACTTTAAAAGCTAAAGATCTAAGAAACTTCCTCTGAACGTTCTCTAATCCATTAATGTAGACTTGATGAAATGGAGACCAAACAACAAAGCAGTATTCAAGATCTGAGCATACACTACAATAATTTGAATACAATAGGTGAAAGATCATGACTATTACGATAAATAAAACCAAGATTACAAAATCCTGTTTCCTTAATTTTAAGAAAACGGATTCTAAATGTCAATGCACAATCCAATTTTTAATGTTAATGTTAAAAGGTATGGAGAAACATCTTTACTTTCATAATGATCTACAAGTGAATCACTTTTGCTTACCAGTTATATGATCTTCTGCAATTTCTACAGGATTATTTTCAGATCTCATAGAAATATTTTGTCCATTATTGCTATTTTTGACATATTCAAAACTATCACATTTAGATGCAACACCATTGGAGCTACTTGATTTTCCAGAATCACTAGTTTTATTATTTTCAGCTTGTTTATAGAAAGTAATTAACTCATTTGGTGCTTGTTGAGATTTACAGTCAACTACACTCCCTGTTTGAACACCAACTGCATATTGCTTTATATTTGTTTTTGGCAAGCAATCTACTAAAACAGGTTTAGTAAGGCATAAATTTACACTTTTCTTATTAGAATTAGCTGGAAAAGTTAACGCACTCTTTGTAGGTTGCACTAACACATTACTTTGTATGCTTTCATTCTCAATCTGAATATCTTTAATAATATTTTTAATAGGTTTATCAGTTTTTTTGACTAAAGGAGTCTCAGTCATTATTTGGCACTCAATTTTGGGAGAGTCAGGTTCATGAGGTGTAGAGTGTGCATCAGGAAGTCCAATTTTCTTCTTTATATAGTTTAAACTTTTTTTAAACTCTAAAATTTTTTTATCATTTAGAGAAGAATCTGAATCTGAGCTTAGCAATTTTTGTTTTTCACTAGAATGAAAAGAAAATGTACCAGATGAGGATGGTATCTCCTTTTCTACAATGGGAGATGACGATGATAATGACTGTAAGGTATTTTTTTCACTAGTTTTGTCTTCTGAACTGCTTGTATATGGATATAAAACTATTTTCACATTATCTGTTGGACCTTTAGGTATGTCATCAATTTTAATAATTGTATGTTGTGTCAATATTGGCAATGAAGTACTTTTGTAAAGTTTTTTAGCGTTATTGTAGCCAATATCACCCAAATTATCCCATTCTAACTTTTTATTAGAAGCAACAGATTCAGTGGGAGATAGTATTTCAGGATTTTGCTCAGGTTTCTCATATTGCTTTGAAGCGATAATCTTAACATCTCTTGCTGGATATATTGTATCTAGTTGTCTTGCAGAGGGCTCGTCATCTACAATTTGAGGTAAATATGAAATGGAAGTTCCAGAGAAGTATTTTGGCAGTTGTTTACTTTGTGAGTATTTTTGATAATATTCCAAGACCTGTTTTGTTGACGAATCTTCTTCACTCTTTTCGTTGTCATTTTTCTCCATCTCTTCCTACTTGTTAACTTTATTTAAAACTTCTAGCATTATTTGTTGTGATCAATGACACTAAAATTTTGGCAGATAATAATAAATTGTCACTAATGTCTTAACTGAAAAAGTGGGAAATAAATACCTAGAAATTATTCTAATTTTTATCACATAACTCTATGACGAGTGTTAACTGTTGTGATATTTAGTTAAAATAACCGAATTTTCAATTGATAAACAAATTTTAAAAATTAACGACTGCCAAAAGTGACATATGACAATAAAATGACGTTTTGTAAGATTAGGCAAAACAATAACGTCAAAATTCCTAGATTCAGTTTGAAATTAAATTGGAAATGCGGGGCAACAGGGGCAAGTTAATCAATTATTATTTATCTACGAAGTTAATCTTAATAATAATTGCAATAATTGTTGCTATTAGATACATTTGAATTATGTTGACGTCTTGGCAGATAATATATATTCGTTATTTTGACGACTTTAATAGTTTCTGTTTCAAAATTTTTGTTCATTTAAATCATGCGCAAATTTGGAATGATAAACCCTAGACATCACCCTGGTGATGAAGAAGTTGCACTTTCCTTTAAAAGACCTTGCGTTTGTACCACTGAAAATGTAGATTTAGGTAAGATTGTTTAATAAATATTGTCATTAATCAATATGTTACGTGGGCATATTTACAATATATTATTACAGTTGTTCATTTGCTGTAACTTTATGTTCTACCCAAATTTCTGCTAGCTTATGATCATAATGATATACTAAAGATATCAGAAGGGATCTCTAACATGGTTTTTGAATGATCCACATGTTTACCTTGCTGAGCATATGCTGATACAGATACTCACGTTTGTCTTAAAGAGACAAAACATATCCTTTTTTTTTCAAAAATTTTTCTACCATAATATAAGTACACTACCAAAGCCACCTATACTTCACAAGAAATGTTATTAGAATTGGCAATGTTGCAATAATGGGTAAGAGTAGTTCGATCAGAAGTAGGACGTTTAGGGCACATTTTGTGATTTTCTAAATGTGAATAAACCTCACTTTCGAAAAAATCGAACTCACTGTATAACGCTGAAATGCCTCTTTTCTTCTGGATTCTGAAAAATAATGACATATTGGAAAAAATAGTTGATACAACATCATTCAGCACTAGGTCCACAATTTAAATTTTTAGAGATTAATAATTTAGTAAATTTGAAATAATTTAAACTATTCTTAAACTAAAAGTGGGTACGACATAAAATATTGCATATCATGTCTATGGTTGCCGTAAATCAATTAAACCGAGTTAATTTTTCTGTGCAGATAAAATTTCACTGAACCTGCACTGGTTCCGTTAACATGGCTGATTCCGTCTGCGTGAACGAGATGCTCGTACTTATCTTGACAAGTAGAGTGGGCATTCTGATTGTTATTTATTTTGTGACTAGGTTACTAGGGCACCAATTTCGAGAATTTCGACGGTATCTGTTCTAATTTTTTTGACGTCGATTTCTGTATTGTTGACTTCTTATAATTGCATTTTTAATCAAATGTTTTTCACATACAGTACAAGTTCTGCGGAAGCTGAACTTACTAAGTACTTTTCTGGGCCATATGCTTATGTCTCGTATCCATTTGTTATCACGGAATGTTGTCAGACTGTATAATACGCCTATATGGTGTCAAGACTATAATCTAGCAGAGTTCGTCAGCTCTCTGGGGCATCACTCACTAAAAACTTTCTCCTCTGTGCTATGCATCCCCTGGGTACGATGGTGTTACCAAAGAATATTCTTTGGTGTTATACAGCTGTTTGGTGATTTGGCAATTAAGCATGATGTACCTGTAGGTACATGTGCGTATATGTATTTTGTTTGTATGTGCGCACATTTTCTATGTGTGAGTGTGTATATATCATATTTGGTTAAAACATCTACAGTTTATGATAATAGTATACCTGCAGCCACTATGTCATGTTCTTCGCGGTTTTTTATTAGTTTATTCTTTAATCAGCAAGGTTAAAGAGAGAAATAAAAAGAGAATTGAATATAAATGAAGAATGCGAAGAACTAGAGAGACATGCAAACCAGTATGAATCCAATGAGCTATATAACAAAGTCCGATATCTATCCAGGGAATTTAAACCAATCACACAAACAATAATGCATCAAAACCAACATATTATAAATGACTAGAAAGGGATTGCGGAGGTATGGAGAAAATATTGTCAAAAGTCTATATGCAGATAATCCCCAGAATGCAAATCACGACGAGTTCACTGCAAATAGAGAACCAAACATTCTAAAGGCAGAGGTAAAAAAAAGCAATCAAAAAGTTAAAAAAATAGAAAATCTCCTGGCACAGTCCAGATCACCGCAGAAGATTTAAAAGAGACTGGAGATGTTGGAGTGAATGTTATGCATAAGATCTACAAAAATATTTGGGAAGCCGGAGAGTGGCTCAACGACTGGACAACATCCTCTTTCATCCCTATATTCAAAAAAGGAACTTCGCTAGATTGCAGCAACTACAGAATGGTAACCCTAATACCCTATGCTAGCAAGGTTCTACTTCATGTAATATATGAAAGACTAAAAGCTTTTTTTGCCTCAGATATCAGAAGAACAAGCGGGATTTGACCCAGGAAAAGACACAAGACACAAGAGGAAAAAACACATTCTTAATGTCAGACAGCTAATCGAATAAACTTGTGAATTCAATACTCCTATGCTTATGTACTTTATGGATTACAAAAAGGTCTTCGATAAAGTCAAATGGCAGCAACTATGGTTTATACTAGCGGAAATGGGAACACCTCACCACTTAATTCAACTAATTAGAAGTCTATATGAAAATAATAATAAGTACACATTAAAAATAAACAACACCCATTTCGATCATTTTAGAACAGAGGCAGGTGTCAGGCAGGGATGCTTAATCTCGCCAACTCTATTTAATATTTACAGCGAACACATTATGCGAAAGGTACTAGACGGATGGAAGGGCGGAATATCAGTAGGAGGTCAAAAAATCAGTAATTTAATATATGCTGATGACACTTTAATAATCGAGGCAAATCAAGAAGAAATGGAAGATATAATGAGACGTCTGAAGGAGAAAAGCAAAACATGTGGACTAAAGCTAAATAGGAGTAAGACAAAGATCATGGTAGTAGAAAGAGCTCAGAATGATCTTCTAACTATTAAAACAATTGGTGGCTTTGAAGTAGTAAATAGTTTCATATACCACTTTAGGAGTTCGTTCGGTATTCTGTCCTCTCGTGGTGAGAATACGTAGAGATACGTCTACGTATAGATACGTCTAGATACGTCTAACATCTTTTATCAACGTCTGTTTGCCTTGCAATTTCTAGAAGGCTCAGATTATAAAGCAGAAATCTGAATTGTGTTTCGAAACTATGTTACGATTTTTGTAATTAGATGTCGCCAGTGCGTCCGTATTGAAGCCATGTTATTGTTGCTTCTTAAAAGGCAGAAAATATTGATTTTTCACGTTGAGAACTCCTATGAATAGCTCTTCTGACGAGACCTATTAGGTCGAAATACGTATCAAGAGATACATAGGATTTGTTTGCGTGAAATCAAATATTTGCTGCCTTTTTTCATTTTATTTCGTATTCTTTAAATGATGACGCACGGGTAAAGAACCATGGACACAACTGTACAACAGTATTTTGATCTCAAACGCTTTATTATCATGCCAGCTAATATCCAATTAATTGAGGAATCCTGTATTCTATTATATTAAATCGTCACTTCACGCTGTATTAATGTGTCAGTTTTTATGTTTATCCCTTTTAATAGACGTAATTTGTTTCTATTAGGTATAGGTGCTTATATTGTCGCAATACTATATTCTTCAATAATATATTTTTTATAGATCGCTTAATATTTAATAAAATATTTTATATATGGAGTGACACTATTACTTAAAACTTATTTATAATGCTTAATTCTAATATTTTTTAGAGAAAAGTTTTGTCTACGTTGAAGGAACTAAAACTGATAAAAATATTTCTGCAAATTTACCTGAGCTTACAGAAAACGTATGGTATGTTCAATATTTTAATATAAATCACTAACAGTAGATATTGGCTTTCTTTTCTGCTACCTACGCTTTCTGTTTAAGAATTTCTAAATAAATAAATGCATTTATATAAAAAAAATTATTTAAAAAACTTCAGTTAAAAAAGTCTATTCGGTGAATTTACACTGGTTTCAGATTATGTAAATAAGCAGGAATTTAACTGACTTTCTCTAAAAATTGTTGTATATAGGTTGGTGACTTTGAGTGAGTAACGAGTGTAGAAAGCTAGCCGTTAGTCTAAAATTAATATTTTAATTTATTTCCTTGCTGAAAATCCCAAATCTCCCTAAAGTGATTTTTGCTAAGTTGCCCAAACTGCTTCGTCAATATAACCATTATGCCCAACATGCTTGTCATAATATTGTTATGTTATTCCCCATATATATTCGATGGGATTAAACTTGCAGTGGTGTGGTGGAAGACGTAAAACTTGGCGACGGTAACTTTGATTAATCTCATCGACCATAAAGATTTTGGTTTTCTAAAAAATATGTCCCAATCCTGTACTCCATCTAATCCTCATATATCCTTCCCTTCCCACACCTCGACCGAAAGGTTGTTAAATTTTTCTTAGCGATGGTAGTAACGACCGTTAGTACCAAGATAAGGTGTATAGGAAATGATCATGGACCGGTTTATTAATGGACTTTTACAAGTGGAGCTGTATCTGCAGAATGGTTGTGATACTGCGATGCACTAGGGTAGGGGAATCCATTGTCACGCAGACCAAGTGACGACTGGCGCTTTCATGACATCAGTCCGGGTCAAGGAGCGCGACTGGCCACCGGCCACGTGAATGTTAGTGCTCAGGCATTGTGTGGAAATTCAGCTACTGGTCCACAAAACTTGAAACTAAGAAAATTAATTAATGCCGGTACACGAAATGTACAAGTGCTAAGGACAATCACAGGTAAGCTTTCAATTGTTGAAAAAGAGCTGGTAAGGTATATCATTGAAATCTCTGGACTAGCTGTTAGAAATCATTGGTTATAAGAGGGCAATTTTAGAACACATAATGACAATTTGTTTACTTCTCTGACGTTGAGACCCAGAACTGTATAGGTGTTGTCATTCTGGTCTCACCAAGATTACAAAAATCTGTCGTCGGATTAAAAACTATGAGTGATAGGTCAAAATATGGAAAGATTCTCTTTCACGAG